AGGACCCCCAGAGGGGTCTGCCACAGAGACTTCAACTGGCCGGCCAAGCGGCGTGAGTGTGGTGCGGTCTCGAAAGAAGGAGCGAGAAGCCCCCGAGTCAAGGGTGAAGGTGTGGGAGGCCGAAGCCGACGGAGTACCTAAGAGAGCAGACTCACCAGCACCTGACGGAGCAGACACACGAGCACCTAGAGCAGCAGTTTCGCTAGCACTTAGAGCAGCAGCCTCACCAGTACCTAGAGCAGCAGTCTCAATTCCCGGGTCGGGTGCAAAACACCAGTTACAGTCACCCTCTTCACGAATAGTCCCAGCATACATGGCAGCAAGAATAGCATCAAAGTCAAGGTCAAAGACAGCTACTCCCGCCCTAGACAGCTCGCCCCAGCGGGGGATCTCAGTGGCCTCAGGGAACTGGTGACGCCAAGCGTCCGTCAGGCGGCCAAAGCAGCGCTGGGTGGAGTGCGCACCCCCGCACTGCTCACCTGCGCGGTCACGGGTGCGTAGGACGTAGGTGCACGTACCAGTACCCCCACCCCGCAGGCGTGCAGCGTACCACTCACGGAGCTGCTGAGGGGGGGGGGATGTCACGAGTGCGCTGCTGCTGCTGGCGCTGACCACCACCGGAGCCGACCCTCTGCGCAGCGCCACCCCGACCAGCTCCGCCTCCTCCACCGCCGCCTCCTCCTCCGCCGCCACCTCCGCCACCTCCGCCCCCACCACCACCGCCGCCTCCGCCTCCGCCTCCACTGCCGCCACCGACACCTCCACCCCCGCCACCACTCCCACCACCACCCCCACCCCCTCCACTGCCACCACCGCCACCTCCGCCACCCCCGCCAGCCCCTTCAGCGCCCTTGCCCCCCTTGCCCTTGCCGGTGCGGCGTCTCCCGCTCGGGGCGGACGCAGCGCCGACCGACTCGAAACCAACGAGGTCGGCTGCAGCAGCAGAGGCAACAGAGGGCAAAAGGGGGGAGGGGGAACACCCCTCAAAGGCGGGGGTGCGAGGGTCACCACGAGAGGCTCCTGCAGCGACTATGCTCTTTTCTGCCGCTAGGAGGGCCTTCTCGAGGAGGTCAACGGTGAGAGTGGTGGGGCAAACTGAGAGGAAGTGGTCCCTGACTACGCGGAGAGAGTCCGAGAGCCGGGTGACTATGTAGTAGAGGGTGATGTACATGGGGGGGGGGTTCTTGGCGCAGAACTCAACAGGAAGCGCAGCGCGGTAGCGAGTGTCACTAGTGCGGAGGTGCGTAATGAGGTGAGTGACTGTGGGAAAGGCAGCAAGGTCAGGGAAGAGGTACGGTAGTAGGAGGCGGCTCAGTGCAGCAGTGGCAGGGGAGGAGTAGCGTGCAGCTACAGCGTCTTACAAGGTCTGAGCACTCTTGTACTGGCTAAAGTGCGCACGCTTTGAGGTAGGCAGGTGGCGACGCACAGCAAGACGTGCAGCAGCATCGCGTGTGGCCCACTGTGAGCGAACAGTGGCGTCAGCATCAGCAGCAGGGGCAGGAGAGGCACCAGAAGTGAGGTCAAAGAGGGAGAGATCGTCTGCCCTATCGCACTGTAAGAAAAGTTGCAGGTTATCTACCCAGACGTCAAAGTCAATGGCCCGACCCTCAGCGTCAAAAGCAAGGACACTAGGGGTAGCCATGACAGCAGTAGACTAGTAGCGTGAACAGTAGGGTAAGGGCAGTGCAGTGATAGAGGCGCTGCTCTTACCGGACAGGGCGGCTCGGGCGGCTCGGCAGCTCGGCGGTACGGCGGCTCGGCAGCAACTGCGGCTCGGCGACTTGGCGGCTCTGGCGGCTCGGGCGACTCGGCGGTACGGCGGCTCGGTAGCTCGGTGACCCAGCGGCTCGGGCGTCTCAGGTGGGTCAGCGGCTCGGGCGGCTCGGGTGGCTCGGGCGGCTCGGCAGTGGCTCGGCGGTGCCGGCGGCTCGGAGGTGACGGCGGGGCCGCGTGGGGACGGCGGCGGGCTCCGGTAGAGGCGGCGCCGGGGCCGGGAAGGGTAGCGCCGGGGCCGCAGGGTAGGCGAAGGGGCCGCAGGGTAGGCGACGGGGCCGCAGGGTAAGCGTCGGGGCCGCAGGGTAGGCGATGGGGCCAGCAGAGACGGCGCCGGGGCCGGGAAGGGCGGCGCCGGGGTCGCAGGGTAGGCGACGGGGCCGCAGGGTAGGCGACGGGGCCGCAGGGTAGGCGCCGGGGCCGCAGGGTAGACGACGGGGCCAGCAGAGGCGGCGCCGGGGCCGAGAAGGGCGGCGCCGAGGCCGCAGGGTAGGCGCCAGGGCCGCAGGGTAGGCGCCGGGACCGCAGGGTAGGCGACGGGGCCGCAGGGTGGGCGACGGGGCGGGCAGAGGCGGCGCCGGGGCCGGGAAGGGCGGCGCCGGGGCCAAAGGGGTAGGCGACGGGGCCGCTAGGGCGGCTAGGATGGGGGTCGCGAGGGCGGCTTGAAGAGGCCGCTAGGGCGGCACGAAAGGGCCGCGAGGGCGGCGCGAACGGGCCGCGAGGGCGGCGCGACGCGGCGGAGCCGCGAGGGCGGCGGATCGGGGCCGCGAGGGCGGCGCGACGCGGCTGCTAGGTCGGCGCGACGTCACGGGGCCGCGAAGGCGTCGCGACGGGGTCGAAAGAGGGGAGCGCGACTCGGGCAGAGTAGAGCGCGCTCCGGGCAGGGAAAAAAAAGGTGGTGGGCCCTAGGAACAGTTCCCACAGGGGAACCTGCTCGATACCGTGAGAATTTTTTATCTTTATTTTTTTAACGAGAATCGATTGAATAAGGGAAAGTTTGGTACAAGTACAAACCCTAGACAGTCGTACCCCATATCTGCTACCCCACTATAGCCTACAACAGCTATGTCATATAAATCTGACAGGTGCTCCTAGAAGGCCCAGGATCACCTGTCGGATAAGCTGCTGGTGGAGTTGATGAAGCACCTACTCTTAGTAGAGCTACACTGTGAGATCCCCGATCGATCCTAGGGGGGGTTACAGGCGCGTTTGCTTGGGGGGTTATGGGAGCACTGACCCGCTACTGAAACAAGCCCTTTTATCCCAATGGTCTAGTGGTTGGGATTCTGACATGGTATCAGAGCGATCTCGGGTTCGTATCCCGGTGTATGCACATGTTGGCCGTTGCCACTGTGCTCAGTCCTGGGCCTCCCAGTGTGGGGGGGTGTTAGTAGAGCTACACTGTGAGATCCCCGATCGATTCTAGGGGGGGTTACAGACGCGTTTGCCTGGGGGGTTATGGACGCACTGACCCGCTACTGAAACAAGCCCTTTTATCCCAATGGTCTAGCGGTTGGGATTCTGACACCTACTTTAGGCACTATGGTGGGGTGTGCCACGATGTGGATGTGAGGAACCCCCGTCTTAGCAATCCGCAGTGTGCTCTGGTTAAATCGGCATGCCTTGGGGAAACGGGGGACGGCAGTACCACGTGAAGAGCTAGGCGCCGCTTGCGATCTAGGCTTTGCAGTATTCCGAGTAGAGGAACTAGAGGAGACGGTCGGTGTGTTGCTGAAAGCCCGTCTAGCATTAACAGCGGGCAATGAAACAGGAGTAACATCCTGGCGATTCGGGGAAGAAGCCACTGGAACGCGAGTCGGCGAAGACGAGCCTAACACGGCTGCAGGCTGGGAGCGTCGTAGGAAATCTAGGCCAGTGACTGGTGGATTAGGCCGTGGGGTGGGTGATTCAACAGCTTCCGCGTCGTCCGCCATGGTGAGAAGATGGACTGACGGGGAAGGGGAGAGAATTAGTGTAATCGCGCTGAAAATGGCTGGGTGGGGCGTTTGCAAGAGATGCTTAGAGAAGAAGGACCCCCCGAAACCCCAACGCCCGAACACACACCCCAGTTGACGAAGCGCACAAGGCTGTATAAAACTATAGGTGGCACCACTTGACTGTGGTGATCCCGTTGCGCGCTTCCTAAATCTCGTGCAGGCGCCGAATTTGAGGGTTTGTGGTGCTGGATTGATGACTGTTGTACAAAACTAACCAGGGAATCACTCATGACAGGCCACGTACGACAGAAATGGTCCTGCGTGGGCAAGTCGTGACGCAGACATCATGTGAGTACAACATATAACGTGACTGTTTGCCCGTTGCAGCAGATCTTTTTTGGTGTGGTGGCGAAAGATACACGTGGGAGCACGTGCCGCGAAATGTATGATGCATACATTCCAATAATCAAGGGGAAACACCCACACCACGCCTTGTTCACGCGTCAATCACGCCCAAGGGAAGAAAGATCCGGTAACAGACGAAACCGGAAAGTGTTCCTGATCAATCAGAGGAACGTGGAAAACGTGTCTGATGGATCAGCCACTGAGGAAATTCATTTTTGAATGAACAGATTTTACCAATTGCAAGTTTCTGAACAATCAGATTAAATCAAAACATTACCTTCAAACATAGGACAAACATTCAAAAAATTTCTGCTAGCGACAACCCTGCCTCCAATATCCTAACTATAAGTTATGGGAGGGAACTTGGATTATTTGGGCATCCATAGCAACTGGGACATAATCTGGTCGCCCAGATGATATCTCATTGCTGGTTTTGTCCTGAAAATCGAAGCCTCAACTATCGCACACCCAAGCGAGCCTGCTACGTCATTGTGTGCTGGCGTGGCAGTCTTGATGTTGGCAGCTGCCCGACATCTTCCAGGCCATCCCACCCAGTCGCAGTGATGTTAGCGAGCTTAGCTAAGTATCAGCCACACTGATTATTGACATCCTTCGGCCAGGCCACCTATTCACCTTCTAGTTGATTTCAACCAACCATACGAATCTCCTTTGCCAGCTAACCCACCCCCCATCAGCATTGATGTTTTACTGTTTTCGCATGTAGGACCTACTACCAAGTCTGTGGAGCTTCAAAAAGCCAGTCGAGGAGCTAAGCGTGTAGTCGTCTTACACTGCTCCTTAGCGTCCAGACCCAAGGACGACGTCGGCCGTACCGCGGCGGTAGTTCTCACAGGTCGTCCTTAGCGTTGAAAATCGCGAGACGCTATGACGCTGGGAGGCCTTGTTGCGCGCTTGGCGCGGCAGAACGCCAAGTCGGTTGCGTCAGGAAAGCTTCCTTTTAGGACATTTGTTACCGGATCTACTCCCGCGCTTGCTGCTGCACCTAAGGGCCTGCAGCAGTTCTCAATATACCGATGGGATCCCGACCAGAACGAGAAGCCGCGTCTTCAGACCTACACCATAGACACAAAGGAATGCGGACCCATGATTCTTGACGCTCTGATTAAGATTAAGAACGAGGTCGACCCGACTCTCACATTCCGCAGATCTTGCCGGGAAGGGATCTGCGGTTCTTGCGCGATGAACATTAACGGCGCGAACGGCCTCGCATGTCTCACCAAGATCGAAGCATCTCCTGGAGCTTCTATTCCAATCACTCCGTTACCCCATATGTTCGTCATTAAAGATCTCGTGGTGGATATGACTCAGTTCTACCAGCAGTATAAGTCCATCGAGCCGTGGCTGAAGACCAAGAAGCTGCCGGAAGATGGAAAGGAATTTCTTCAGACTAAGGAAGACCGGGCTAAGCTTGACGGCATGTATGAGTGCATCCTGTGCGCGTGCTGCAGCACCTCGTGCCCCAGCTATTGGTGGAACCCTGAGAAGTACCTTGGACCGTCTGCGCTTCTGAATGCCAACAGGTATTGTAATCCAGCCAGTCGTTTGTTCATTGTGCCATTCTGTGCTCTGTTTTTTTTCTTTTTCGTTGCGTCTAATCGTAGTATTCGTTCCTTTTTCTTCCTGTTGTTTCAGGTGGATCATGGACAGCCGTGATGAGTATACCAAGCAGCGGCTTGATGATTTGAATGATCCATTCAAGCTGTACCGTTGCCACACCATTATGAACTGCACCAAGGCGTGTCCCAAGGGGTTGAGTCCAGGAAAACAGATCGCCAACATCAAGCGCCTGATGGTGACCAAAAGCTGAATGTTTGTCACTGTTGAGGATTATATGCATGTGTACATGTATTGATACACATAAGTCAAGACACCGGAAGTCACAGATGAATTGTTCCATTTGTAGTACCGTAGTGCACTCTCACTCTGCCACAAGTGCTATTGTGAATGAATAAACATTATACAATCTCTACATATACATTCTTCAGGGACATCAAATTTCATTTTCTGCTAACATCAGCAAAACCTGTTACAGTACTTGGCGAATGTAAATACGGTAGCAGAATACACGGGCTTGGACTAAGCGACTTCAGGCAGACACGACCCCGACTTAATACACCACTTGACAGCACGAATCTGCCGGATCAAAGACAGGATCTACCTTCCCTGCCTCCATCGGCTTCTCAGTCCCAGAAAACACATTGGCCATATCTGGCAGCTTATCCTTCAGGTGCTGGAGAACATGCCACATGATGTCCATGCGCTCCACAGGTTGCTTGCACTGCCAAAAAAAAAAGAGTAATCACTTCAGTCCCCCGACCCGACTAACTACAACGCACAAAACCTCCTGTTCTGTGTCCTAATGACTGACCTCGCAGACAAGGGACAGGAAACACTATCAGGAGATGCAAGACTCACCTCAGCAATAATGTGTGCCTTGACATGGCCACCAGAGGACTTGACTGATGACTTGCGAACCACCAGCCCTATCTGGCGAAGTCCGTCAGCAAGGTCAATCGGCACAGTGCTACCAATCCATTCCACCTGCACATAAAAATAGTTATCACTATTTAGCGGATCTGGACGACATAATTTAAAGAAAGTTCATACAAAAAAGCCTCACACTGTTCACCTTAATTTGAACTAGGGTCGGTGAAAGTTGTTGCACAGATACTGGGCATTCATTCATACATTCATCAAAACTCTTCTCCGCCTGCGTTCAAACAAAAACCATGCAAGTTAAAAGACTGAATGAAAGGAGGGGTGAGGCGCCAATGGATCTTAAAAAGTTTATGACTCACCAGCATTGCTTGGCCTTCGTCAATGTCTGCACGGAGAGTTGAAAACTCCCTCAAGAACACAAGATGTTGGATTGTGCGTTCCAGCAGTCCATCAATACTCAGCTGCAGGAAACAAAAAAAAAGTCAAATCAGAGAAAGAAAACGAAAAAAGAAACATAAGTCTGAATATCAGAGCAGACATACCCTTTCAGAGTTAGGAACTATCCCTCGCAGATCCTTCACGCGATCTTGAATCAGCTGCCTATCACGAGGCCTCTGCTTCGGCTTCTCCTCCCTCCCCCTCTTCTTCGTCCCCTTCTTCTCATCCTTCCCAGCAGCAGCAGCAGCACCACCACCACCACCACATAGCTCTGGCACACCGAGCTCCTGCACGCCGGAGTTTGCCGATCGATCTGGCAAGGCCTTGAACGCAGCCTCAGACTTGAACACGCCCTTCCCACTGGGCTCCACGCTTCTCATACCTCTTCCGCTATCCCCCGCAGCCTTCGCAACAACGCTAGCCCTGCTCTGAATCCCAGGCAGACTCCCAAGCTTAGAGCCTGACGCCATACCAGCACTGGCCGCTTCCGCTGCTGCAGAAGCAGCTCCGGCCACGGGATTGTGAGTGCTGCGGACCTGGCTTTGCTGCAGCTCAGCCAGGCTCAGGCGAGGCAGCAACCCAGACGTCCGCATGAGAGCTTCCAGGGTCGCCATTCGTTCCATTTCCGCCAGGCTGTTCCCCATCCCCGCTCCTGCTTGCGCCCCCGCCCCCACAGCGCCGTTCACTGCGCCTGCCCTGCTCAATGACGCACTCAGTTCGTCAAAACCAAGAGCACTACCGACAGCAGGGGCCACTCCAGCCCTGTGCTGCAGCTCTTGTGGTTGCGGCAGCCCCGAAGTCATGGAGAACCCTCCCCTCGACGCACTGGCATCAGCACCGCACCTGGCGCCTCCAACAGCCCCTGCCTGGTCGAACGCGCCGCGGCTCATTGCGCTTCCCATCTGACCGTTGGCAGAGCCTTGATTCGCGCCAATGTCCGCCAGATTTGCCAGGTCAGCGAGGTCAGCCAAGTCAACGGGCAGTTGCCCTGTGAAGTGCAACCCCAGGGCCTGCGCGAGCTCATCTGCGCCGCCAAACGCGGAGGAACCCCCCAGCGCTTCACCGCCGGTGCTGTTGAACTGAGACGCCCGCGCAGCAGCGTTCCCGTTCCGATTGCCAGCCATGCCGCTCCCAGTCATGCCGCTCGCAGTCATGCCGCTAGCAGTCATGCCCGCGAGCAGCTGCTCGTCCAGACCCGAAAAAGCGCCGGCAACACCAAGGCTTCTCCGCGCAGGCGCGCGCTCGGACGCAGAACCAATCCCCGCCGCCATGGGCTTCTGCGCGGCGGAGCTCCTGGAGGGGAGGTTGGCGAGGGACAGCGATTGGTCGTTGAGGAACTGGTCGTGGAAGATGCGCAGCTCCTTCTCCAGATCCACCACCGCCTTCCGCTTCGCCGCTCCCGCTCCCGCGGCCGCCTCTGCTCTTCCCAGCAGCTCGCCAGACGGGCCGAGCACGTGCGCGGAAGCTTCGGTCGGAGGCGATTGCCTGGACGACAGCGATGTGTGCTCCACAGGGCTGTGATTCAGCGAGTTGGAGGGAAGAGTCGGACCGCTGAGAGGGAGGTCCGAGTCGAAGAAATTCAGCTGAATCTGGTTAATGGCGACGGACGCTCGAGTCGTCCTCTCCGGAGCGACCTTCGCTCGCTTTGCCGTGCTCGAGTAATCGGTCAGCGACGCTGCTTCTTGCTTCGGGTCCGCTGGCGGCTTCAAAGCCGCGGAGCCCATGAACCGAGAAGCGTTCTGGTCGTCGGCACGACAGTCGGATGGGATGCCGAGAATGCTGAAGAGATCCGACGGCGAGGAGGCGGCCAGCTGATTCCCCGCGAATGGGCGAGATGGAGCTGGAGGAGCGGCAGGAGGAGCAGCAGCTGCAGGGGCAGGCATCTGTAGGCTTTGCGGGTTAGACTGGACTGAACGACGGTTGAGAGCTCCGGGGAAGGAGACGCCGAGGAAATCGGACTGCGGGTTGGGATTGCCAAGAGACGCGGCGATGTCGGGAGGGAATCCGGCGGCTGCAAGCGCGGTTGCGTCAGGCGTGGGAAAAGATTTCGCTTTCAGGGCATTGTCGGTGAAGAGATCGGATAGAAACGCTCCGGGGACTGTTTGAAGCGCCGCGAAGAGCGAGCGGATGTGAGAAACGAATTTCAAATCCTCTGGCATCTGCAGAACACGGAGAGACACCAAATGTTAACCCGGGAAGCCCAAAAGTCGATCTACTTAACGGCGGAAACAGCTTTCGAGACTGACCGATCGACTGGAACCGAGTTGTAAGACTCCCTCCGGAACGGCGATGATGGCAATAGTCTGTCAAGACAAAAACAGCAGTTTCGTAGCGTTAGTAGACCGAAACCAGCAAGCGGTTCACAAGTTCGAACAGAATCTACGATACGCACCTTCACTCCAGCAGCAAATTGATCATCCCATCCAGATGGATACTGGTAGGAGAAAAAACACAAGGAAGACTCACGTCAGAAACACCGCCTAGTACAAACGGCAAGACCAACAAAGTTTGATGGGAAAATCAGATAAGCATGGAAGTTAGATAAACACCTTGTCGACACCCGTGCAGCCCCCGTATCCCTTCATGGACGAAAATCCCGGGCGAGAATCCATGCCCGGGACTCCTTGAGATCGCGGAGCAAATATCCATTGATGCTTCCCAGAGAAAGCCACTCTTCCCACAACTCTGAGAAGCAGAAGAAACATTAGGGATGATCTGAGTCGCCAATGGTAACAGCAGACTTTCCAGTTTCAATGATGCTGCACAGTCAGGCACGGATAAATTTCGAGAGACAAGCCGATTAAGACACTGTCTTGAGTTACAGGAAACCTAGACACTAACGAACTAGTGCTCACCCTTCTCCGAAAGAATATATGTGATAAGACATCTTCGCGACCGCCATGCCGAGAACGTTCCCGTCAATGCTGCTAATATCCGCGCTCTGCTCCTTTTGAGTCGCTCCCGGGGGATCCATCGAACAATATCCATCCTCCCAAGTCAAGACCCTGAACCAATTAGTGGGAAGCAGCGTTAGCAAACACGATATTGCTGAAACTGCTGGAAAACCTGTAAGGATGTGAAAATTCCCAACGTACATTCGGTTGCGTCTTTTGAGCTTCCAGAACACTGCATAGGTCCATCCATCTGGTGAGCATAAACTCCTAAGCGTCTGCCGTAATATAACCATGGTCGCAACCGCGGCTTCGTTGCCGACAAGTAGAGAATAAAACAGACTACTCAGACCCTTCGGAGATGCACCTCGCACCTCTCAAGCGTTTGTTCTACACACACGTCTGTTTGTCTACTGGGACCAAAAGTCACGGAGAATGAAACCCTAGAGCACACTGGAGTACGTATGACTTGTTGAATTGAGTGCTAATTAGACCAAAACTCAGACGGGAAGGAAGAAAATGGAACCTAAGGACCATAAACGGAGAACTAACCGTACTAAAGTCTGCTGGTAGTACTTGACGGCGCGTGGATGGGCTTAATGATTTGATAAGGCATAATAGGACTAGGGTTTGCTGATGTCTGAGGTGAGGAGGGATGCAGTTTTGATTGCCAGCGGAGAGGGTTTGCTCTCTGGACTGAAGGTCACAACCGACGGATCTCGATTCTTCGTCGCATCTCGGGCAGGAGGACGAAGCCAAAGTCGAATTGTGGTTGGCCTGGGATGAGCGGAAGGGTCAGGACTCAGGACTCTGTCGGTGAATGAGCAGCAGCAATGGCACTAGGAGGTGTCTCGACGATCTGCGGGGCAGACCAAGGCGAAATGTGACTCGAAGCCGAAGCCGAAGTAGTGACTGCATGAAACAGTCACTCCGTCGTCGTGTCGTGTGGGGTGACAGGGTGGGGCGGGGGGTTGCTACAGTCGAACACCAGCAAGGAAAAACCGCGGCAAGGGGAAACCAACGGGCTGGCAAGTAACCTGCTTGCAGTTTGATGCAAAGATCCTATCACAGCAGCTCTGATTCTGTTCACATCACGAATCACTTCACCACCGTCGTGGGTCGAGGTCAGCATTTCCATTTGATTCGAAATACAAGATTATTCATACGCGTACACGTTGAGCACAGCCCGTTCACCAAAAAATGAGGCGCTGGTTCTGACTCAAATTGAGCTGTCTCTGTTGAACTTGTGACAAAACACGAGCTTCAGAATCAAGCGTTGTGGCGGCTCTCCCCTCAGCGATGGTTAGTTGTACAAGACCAGCAGATCCTGGAAAACTTTCAAGTTTGTACCCTTAACAGCTGCCTCTTTGCAATACATAAGAGATTCCGCATCCAGAGACAGGCAAATCATACATCCTGGGTGTACTCTTTTCAAGCTGCCTAATCAGATCCATGCTTGCCAGATTGATGTGGGTCAGGCGCTGCGTCAATTTTCCAGAGGCATCATCTTGGATTGGTTGGGTTTAGGGCGTTGCACAAGGCAGTTTCCAGGGATGTGGTGGCACTGAGGCACATTTTTAGTGGCGGCGAAAGAGGGAGGTGTTTCTGCAAGCACAAAATTTACCTCTAACAACAGCAGCTGCGTAAACCTCTAGAATCAGAGCATTTGCGCTCAGAACTTCTGATATCGATCAGCACGTACTGCATTTATCCATTATCTTACCGCTGGTTTCTAAGACCCGAACTAAAGAGCTTCTGGTAGTAAATAAACGATCAGGTTTATCGGCAGCAGCTGTGCGCACCAACTCTTGATCGTGTGAACTGAAACTAGCAGAGGCTTACTCCCCTAGACCCGGCAAGGCAAGGTGTCAACTTTATTATCGCTGTAAACGAGCTATGGGAAAGACTAAATACGTGGTCGTGACTGGAGGTGTCGTGAGCGGATTGGGGAAGGGAGTTACAGCAAGCAGCATCGGTGTTGTTCTAAAAGCATGCGGCCTCCGGGTCACTTCGATCAAGATCGGTACGAGAAATGTCGTGGATATGTATTTGATACGAATAGTTTGAATGCTCTCGTCGTAGCTACATGCCGGTGTCGCGTCATTTATCAGCCAGTTCGAGCAGTTGCTGGTACGGAGCACCAGATTCGAAGCCAGCACTGTGGTAACTCTGTCACCGCTTCGTTCGTTTCGCGATTGTTCGCAGATCCGTACATTAACACGGACGCGGGGACCATGTCGCCATTCGAGCACGGCGAAGTGTTTGTGCTGGATGACGGCGGAGAGGTGAGCGAGGGAGTACCGGGACTTAGAGGTGATCAGGATGTTTCAAGGGGAGAGGTTTAACAGGCTTTTCACCTCAGTCTGTTGCAAATAAAAAAACGTTCAACAGCTTTATGAAGGAAGCGCCGGTAGCTCATTTTGATCCCATTGGCGAAATCAGGTCTGCCGACGATCAGGCTCAGCATTCGAAGGCTACGTTTCCAGTTGTAAACGCTTTGGCCGGCATTGCGCCCCTGCTTTTCCTCCCGCATCAGGTGGATCTGGATTTGGGAAACTACGAGAGATTCCTCGACATCACGCTCACGCGAGATAACAACATCACGACTGGCAAGATCTATCAGGTAGCCTGCCTGCCTTGCCTTGCCTTGCCGTGCCTTGCCTTGGTACATACTCCCATTAGTCGTCTATCAGTCCGTACAGTCGTTTCAGCTCATTATTCCAGTTACTAGTCGTCAGATGCGTTTTGGGAATGGTCGATTCATCGTTTTGCCTTCCCCTTCCCACTCTGTTCCTTTCCACGTGGCAGTCTGTAATTGAACGGGAGAGGCGTGGTGACTACCTCGGCAAAACAGTCCAGGTGAATACGATTACGGCTATCCACAGCACGTGACCATTCCAAACCTGCATTTGGCAATACGATTGGTATGAGGTTTAATGTGATTGAACTAATATGATGCCGTTGTCTTCATATTGTATCAGCATTGTGGAGCATGACCGTTAACAGAAACCCTGGACCCGTTGCTGCCTTACCATGTGACATCTCAGGGCTTAACCACTGTCATGACAAAACCCTGACCCAAACCGAAACCCTCAACCCTTTCAACTTTATACATCTCCCCTCCACCTCCCACCGTTCACCCCCGCTTTTCTGCTGCCGCACATGAATACGGCCAATCAGCAGCTTTTAGCTCAAGGATCGGGGTAGGTAATGTCTGTGAACCTCCCTCCCCTCCTCTCCCATTCCCACGACCTTTCCCCTTCCGCTCCGCCTCACCCCACTCTTTCCTCTGTCCACCGGTGGTGGTGCCAGACACCACGTCCAACCAGGACTGGATAGAGTGAGGGGCACAAATTTCACTTGATGTCTTAAACCTCAAACCCTCTACCCTCTCCTTCCAACCCCACCCCTCAAACCTTTAACTCTCCCTTTCCCGCAGGTGGTACCGCACATCGCCACGGCCATTCAGGGCTGGATAGAGCGCATTGCGCAGGTTCCAGTTGATGCCTTCAACCCGAAACCCGCCAACCATGCCCCTCACCGCTCCCCTTTGCCCCTGCCTCTGTGCACCTCAGGTGGTACCGCACATAACCACGGCCATTCAGGACTGGATAGAGCGCGTGGCGCAGGTACCTGTGGACGGCAGTGGGGAGAGTGCTGACGTCTGTGTCATCGAGCTGGGCGGCACTATTGGTGCGTCGGACGGCAATGGTGTCCTTGCATGCAGCGCAGGGTGTCAATATATATATATATGTATCCGTGATGGGCTTGATTGTCTGGTGTTGTTGCCCCGGCCAGGCTGCCACCCGTGGATTTCAACTGATGTTTTCTCCCTCGTTCCTCTCCATGCACCCTTGTTTCCCGTACCTCTCTCCCCAGGTGACATCGAATCTATGCCCTTCGTTGAAGCTCTTCGTCAGTTTCAGTTCAGAGTCGGTACGTACCGTCCTGCCCTTCTTTAGAACCGTTACGTGCCTCTCTCCATCAGACCATCATCATCACTATCACTATCGTCCACGCCGTCTCTTGGTTACATGCCAAGCAAGGATATGAGTCAAGCAAGCAGGCGTGGTGAGGCACATGAGCATGCTGATGGTGCTGGGCGGTGATGGGATGTTCATTTGAGACCCAACCTCCCCTACCCTCTCATCTCTCCCTCCTCCTCCCTCCACCCATGCAGGGCAGGAGAACCTGTGTCTGGCGCACGTGAGTCTGGTGCCAGTGCTGGGAGTGGTGGTGGGAGGTTTAATCAGCTCCCATTTCCTACTTTCTCTTCTCCCCCACCTCCTTGCATTCGCTGTGCAGGGCAGGAGAACCTGTGTCTGGTGCACGTGAGTCTGATGCGGGTGCTGGGAGTGGTGGGCTTGGCCAACCATCACAACAATCTTCTTCCTTCTTCCTCCATTGCTTCCATCACAACAAGTCTTCTTCCTTCTTCCTCCATTGCTTCCATCACAACAAGTCTTCTTCCTTCTTCCTCCATTGCTTCCATCACTCTCTACCTCCGTGCAGGGCAGGAGAACCTGTGTCTGGTGCATGTCAGTCTGGTGCCGGTGCTGGGAGTGGTGGGAGAGCAGAAGACCAAGCCCACGCAGCACAGTGTGCGCGAGCTCAGAGCGCTCGGCCTCATGCCCAACCTCCTCGCCTGCCGCAGCGCTGAGGTAACACATGCAACACGGTTAGGGTGTATTTACATGTACACGTATGACTTGTGAGTCGACTCAACAGCATGTGTGAGCTCAGAGCGCTCGGCCTCATGCCCAACCTCCTCGCGTACTGCAGCGCTGAGGTACACTTTCAACGTGCTTATTGTGTAACTGCGATACATGTACGAATGAACGTGTATGTATACATCTTTTTTCTCTCTTTTTTTTTTTGGTACCACTTGTCACTACATGGTCTGCCAGTCACCTCTGCTGGAGGTGACTGCAGAGGAGGATTTATGTTACACCACACACACACACACACACACACACACACACACACACACACACACATCCCTGGCCCCTATTGGCCCCTCGACTCCTGTCAACTTCTCTGTCCGACCCCCCCCCCCCCCCCCCCCCCCCCCACACTCTTTCTCCCTCGGCCTTCGCATCTGTTCTCAAATTCCTGTGCTCGTTTCTGCTGTGCCCCCCCTAAATCCACCCTGCTTCTTCTCCTGCCAGCCCCTAGAACCCTCCACGCGAGAGAAGCTGTCGCAGTTCTGCCACGTGCCTGTGAGTGCCTGCAGGGGGATGGGGGTTCTGCCACGTGCCTGTGAGTGCCTGCAGGGGGATGGGGGTTCTGCCACGTGCCTGTGAGTGCCTGCAGGGGGATGGGGGTTCTGCCACGTGCTTGTGAGTGCCTGTAGGGGTGTTGGGGGAGGGGTTGGGTCTCACGGCACCTCTTGGGGCTGGGAAAGGGAAAGGGGAGAAGGGGTGGAGGGTTGTTGGGAAATACGTTCCGCACCACGTGGTGCACTCTCATGGGAGGCTTCGTTTCTTTGTCATGCTCTCGCTCTCGCATGCCCTCATGCCCGAATGCCTCTCGCTCGCCCACCCGCCTATGGATGAACGCAGGTGCAAAACGTGCTGAACCTGCATGACGTCAAGAACATCTGGCACATCCCGCTGCTGCTGCTCGTGAGTCTTGCCACCGACCCATCTCACATCCCTGGGTCTACCTTCGCGAGGAAAAAAAGGGATTTTATAAGGCTTGATGGGATTTCATCTTGTATCTCTGAGTCCGATTGTTAGAATTGTCTGCTTCGCTTGGGCGCCAGCACCTACTAGAAGTTCCCCTCTCCTCCTCACTCCTCCCCATCCCCGCTTCTGCTAACTCGTTTCTGTCCCCCCTCTTCTTCCCCTCACCCCCCTCTTCTCTCCTCCTTATCCCATCCCGTCAACGCCCTCTCCCCCTCACACCCCTCTCTCTCCCTGCTTCTCTCTCGCGTGTCTCTCAGGAGCAAGGCGCCCATCTGTCCATTCTCAAGCAGTTCCAAATCGAGTACGTTCCCTGCCCTCTCACTGACCGAAAGTGTGAGCCACCCTCTTCTTGATTTAGCTTTCAACTCTGGAACCACGTGGATCTAGAGGGTGTGATCTCACTGACCGAAAGTGAGAGAGAGTGGCTGACCGAAAGTGAGAGAGAGTGGCTGACCGAAAGTGAGAGAGAGTGGCTGACCGAAAGTGAGAGAGAGGGTGTGATCTAGATCTTCCTCCATGTCTGCACTCTTCTTCCGTGATTTTCGGGAATATACAATTTTTAAAGTGAGAGTGGCTGACTCATCCGACCACCAACCAATGCGGACCCTCCTGTCTGCCTGCCCACCACCCACCTCACAATACCTTTGTTATCCTCCGATGCAGGCCTTCCGAGCCTCAGCTCCAGGAATGGGCGCACCGAGCCAAGAGCTGGGACGAACTCACAGAGACAGTGAGTGCGGAGTTTGCTGGTGGTGTGAACATTGGTAGGTTGACTGTTGCTTGGTTGACCATTGCTCCCTCCTTCCCTCCCCTACACCCTGTTCCACTCCTTTCCAGCCCTTTGTGTGCCACGTCAGCAGGGTGAGAGTTGCCATGGTGGTCATTGTAGTCCTCGCTGAATTCAACAAAATATGTATATATATGTATATGTTTCTATATTTCCCCAATACCCATGGTCGGCCACGCAAGCAGGTGAGCATCGCCACATGGGAACCTTCCCATCCTCCCTCTTCTCTCACCTTTCCACCCCCCACCTCCTCGGCCGCCCATGTGTGCCATGCTATGCTATGCCACCAGGTGAGCATTGCCATGGAGGGCAAGTACACAGGCCTCTCCCCGTAACCCTCCCTCCCTCTTCTCCCACCTCTCCGTCCGTCTCTCCCACTTGTCTCGCCCATATCCACCATGCCACCAGGTGAGCATTGCCATGGAGGGCAAGTACACAGGCCTCAACCCCTAACCCTCCCTCTCTTGTCTCGCACCTCTCAACCCCCCCCGTGCCCTCTCTCCCTCACCTCTCCACCCCTCTGTGTGGCCCATGCCACCAGGTGAGCATAGCCATGGAGGGCAAGTACACGGGCCTCTCTGACTCCTACCTCCCTCTTCTCTCACCTCTCCAACCCCCCACCTCTCCTTTCTTCCCCGCCTCCCCACCCTCTCTGTGTGTGCCATGCTGTGCCATGCCACCAGGTCAGCATTGCCATGGTGGGCAAATACACGGGCCTCTCCGATTCCTACCTCTCAGTGCTCAAGGTATGCACTACACAGCCTGCCTGCCACGCTACAGCCTTTCCATTCTTTTCCATTCTTTTCATTGTGTTCCTTTCCCGTTGGCTTCCTTTCCAGTTGTTTCCACTCCACTCCTCCCTCATCCCCTCTCTCTGCGTGCAGGCGCTACAGCATGCAGCCATGGCAAGTGGGCGAAAGCTCATCATCGAATGGGTGGCATCATCTGACCTCGAGAATGCTGCCAAGCAAGAGGTGCGTGCAGTCCCTGCCAGCCATATGCTGCCAAGCAAAAGTGTGGGCTTACAGCTTCCAGTCTCACGTCTCCCTCCAATACCAGCCAACACAAACCGTTTGAGATTTCAAAACAACACGAGCTGATTGAAGTAAGGCCTCCGCCGCAGCCCGCCTGTCCGTTACTGACGCGATTAGGCAACACAAACTGTCTGAAATTTGAAACCTGCAACCAACTCTCCAGCCTAATACTCCCTGCCATCTTTTGCCACGTGGTTTCCATGCCTCCTACTGTGCGCCCCTTCATGCTCCCACCAGAGTCCAGACCTGTACAATGAAGCCTGGGCAGCCTTGAAGGTGAGTGTTCATGCACTCACATGCCTGGACTGACATGCCGCCATTTATCATGCCATGCCACCCTGGCTAGTGGATGATTTTCTAGGCGCCGCAAAGAAGGTGAGTGTTTACGCACTCACAAGGCACTGACTTGCCACCATGTATCATGCCATGCCATGCCACCCTGGCTAGTGGATGCATCAAGGCAATTTGCTAATTGCAAGGCAGGTACGTTAAGGCTCGCTAGGGTACCCCTTACCTGCTCGGCCTTCACCCATTCCTGTTTAATACACTGTGCTGATCGCCGGCAATCATCAATGATCGCTCGTTCTTTTGAATGTGCGCAGAGAGGAAATGGGGTTTTGGTGCCTGGTGGCTTGGGAGACAGAGGCGTGGATGGGGTGTTGGAGGCCAAGATGACATCAAGTCGACTCAGTCAACTTCTGCTCATGCGTTGTTTTTCGCCTTGCCTCCTGCCTATCCTGTCTTGCCTTGCATGTGTGCAGAGAGCGGATGGGGTGTTGGTGCCGGGTGGCTTTGGAGACAGAGGCGTGGAGGGCAAGATCCTTGCAGCAAACTACGCCCGAACCAACCGCGTGCCGTACCTGGGGATTTGCCTCGGCATGCAGATCGCCGTCATTGAGTACGCCCGGAATGTAAGCACCTATGTTTCCTCTTGAGCCCTCATTGAATCTGAGTGCTTATTATTCGGCGCCTCAGTGAGAGCCATTGAATCCCTGGTGCGAATGAGTTGCACGAATGTAAGCACCAATGTTTGGCATGAGAGTGCGAGCAGCACAGCCTCTTGGTTTTGGAAAAATCGCTCTGGTAGGATTACACCAAGACCTTTGTTCCTATCTGGTGGAAAAGTGCACTCTGAGGTGCTGGCAGGGCGAGCAGGACCGAGGTTGACCCAGCATCACCTGTCGCATCCCCCCCCCTCTCTTCTGGCTGCCTTCCTGCAACCCACCCCCCACTCCAACTCACAGGTGTTGGGCCATGCGAAGGCGAGCAGCACGGAGTTCGACCCAGCATCACCGCACCCGTGCATCGTCTTCATGCCTGAGGTATCCAAGACGCACATGGGCGCCACCATGCGCCTGGGCGCGCGAGACACAGTCCTCCACTCGCCCACCTGCCTCGCTGCCAAGCTGTGAGTCCTCCCTGCTGCACCCTTCTGCTCTCTGCTGCCCCCTGCTGCCCCCGGCTGCCCCCTGCTGCCCCCGGCTGCCCCCTGCTGCCCCCGGCTGCCCCCTGCTGCCCCCTGTTGCCCCCGGCTGCCCCCTGCTGCCCCCGGCTGCCCCCTGCTGCCCCCGGCTGCCCCCTGCTGCCCCCGGCTGCCCCCTGCTGCCCCCTGCTGCCCCCAGCTCCCCCCTGCTGCCCCCGGCTGCCCCCATGAATCTGTGCCAATCCTCATGCTCCAAGCAAATCCTCTCATGAGACACACAGTCGTGCCATTACAATCACGCAGGCAGCTTAATCGCACCGCTAAAACCATGCCATCACAATCATGCCACTACTATCCCACCAGGTACGGTACGGCACTCAGAGCAGTGTGAGTGAGCGGCACCGGCACCGCTACGAGGTCAACCCCGACATGATCGACGAGTTTGAAGAGGCTGTACCCGTGCTTCCAGCCACTCTAACCGTGCATACCTCTATCTTCATGCTCCGCTGTACCCACCCGCCAGCTACGGCACTCACAGCAGTGTGAGTGAGCGGCACAGGCACCGCTACGAGGTCAACCCCGACATGATCGACGAGTTTGAACCTGTTCGTCGCTCCACCCACACACCCACCCACCCATCAGGTACGGCACTCACAGCAGTGTGAGTGAGCGGCACCGGCACCGCTACGAGGTCAACCCCGACATGATTGACGAGTTTGAAGCTGCGGGACTGAAATTTGTTGGCCGCGACGAGTCCGGGCGCCGCATGGAGGTGAGCAGTGCTCCTGGCATGCAGGAGGGTGGGCTTAATGGCAAAGCGAGAGCTCGGAACGAATCTGGTTGGCGCATGGAGGTGAGTAGATTCGAGCAGGAGAGCTGGTCGTGCTTTTTGAATCGTGCAGCGGCTTTTTTTTCTGGTTGTGAACGGTTTTTTTTGGTAGTAAAGGAGGAAATGTCACTGGTGGCGCTGCTTTTGGGGGGTTGCATGAGTTACTTTGAGTTGCTGTAGGGTTTGGCGAAGAGGATTCGCACTCTTCCCTTCTCTTCCCCTTCCCTCTCTTTCTCTTATGTCAGCTACAACCGTTGTCTACATTCCACACATTAAATAACATTTCAACCGCCTTACACCGCTCTCTGCTTCCTGCCTTCCTCCCCTGCTCGTCTCCTCCACTCTCAACCGTCAGATCCTGGAGATCCCATCGCATCCGTACTTCCTGGCCGTCCAATACCATCCAGAGTTCAAGTCCAGGCCAGGGCGGCCGTCCCCTGTCTTCCAAGGTATGCCCTCTCATGCTCTTTTTCTCGGCCCTCTAGGCTCCCATCCATTTATCTTGCCTTCCAAGGTATGCCCTCTTATCCTCTTCGTCCCAATTCTTTAATTTTGACTTCTAATGTGTTTCCTCCAGCCCCCCTTACTGCCTGTCCTTTAAGACTCTGCTGTTAGTATAAGTTTTGGAACCTTATTATCTCAGATCTCTCTCCAGCTACACCAACCCCCCAGTCTTGCCTGTCATCACACTTTGCTCTTCCCTTCTCGATCTCTTCCGCCCTTGCTTGCCGTTCTTGGGTCCTTTCTTCCCACCAGGCCTAATCCTTGCAGCCTCAGGCCAGCTACAAAGCTACCTGGATTCTCTCTGACGCACATATGCCTCTAGGTGTGGGGACATGGAACAGGGCGTGGCGGTCAACGTGCCGCCATCTAGAGCATAGCAAGATTAGTGCACCTTACCCTGCAGTTGCTGCTGCTGATACGGTACTTGCTCCCTGCAGTGGTGCAGAATTAGTGGTTAAAGTCAGAACTGCAGAGCAGTCAAACAGCGGCGCACCTGTGATGGAATGCACTTTTCAATAAGAGCAATGGCACAAGTCTTACTGCGGGGAGAATATAGACAATTATTAACAGCTTTGATTAACAGGTCTAAGCCGTATAAGCAGACGCATATTCGCGGTATGAGGCCAGGAGAGCACAGCACTTTCACTTCACACTCCTTCCAGCAGCAGGATTTGATCCCATGACCTCATCAGAACAAACCTGCATCCAACTCTCCCTTCCTCCTAACCCCCAAGACCGGACTCCTTACCTTCACAAGGGGCACTGGTCCCACACATATCTCCCCTCCAGTCTTGACCCCCATGGATTTGAGAGCACGCGCGTAGATATCAGCATGTGAGTCATACACACTTCGCCCCCCACCAGGGCTGGATCCCTGGGGAATCTCGTTGCACTGCTGCATCAAGCCGTCCCTTCTTGAACCAGACGGATCCGACACACCTCGCGTTGCTGCATGCTGAGCTGGCACTGCCGCTGTTGCTCCTCCTCCCAGCGCCTGCTGTGTTGGTGCTGCTGCTGCTGCTGCTGCTGCCGTTGCTGCGTTTGAAGCACACACAGCCACTTCTGCCTCTGCTCCTGCTGCTGCCCTTGTCACGTGCTGCTGCTGTTGCCGGAGAAATGATCTGCTCCCAGTGGGGGTGACATCGTTACAGCTCCAATTCCTGCGAGGAATGCTCGCGCCTTCCATGATGCTGCCACTGTTTCTCCTTGGATTTGATAAGATTGAATCCAAGGGCAGTTTTCTTGCATTCAAGGCCTCCCTTTTCAAGCTACTCACGCCCCCACCATTCACGCTCCCACCATTAAAGCTTCCCGCATCCCCAGCCGCATAGAAAGCAGTAGCAAGGCACGAGGACCACACATCAGGCGACCATGCGACGTCAGGCGACCATGCGACGGCAGGCGATTCCAACTCACGAGTGCACCATGCTTTTTCGACACCCGCGCTTTGCCGACCGGCGCGGCCCGAAGCGCTCTTAGTAATAGTACCCTCCAAAACGGCACCTTCAACGGCGGCGCCGCCCGTGATCGTCGCCTCGAGGGGACTTCCGGGTCGGAAGGGCCGCTCCCGACGACCATAGGCCGCATGATGATGCTCGTTGGAAACTTCAAGCTGCGATGATGGGATTGGCTTTGGCGCGTTTGAAACTTCAAAGTTTGACGAGTCGTCATGCGGCTGGCCACGCGCCGCGCTACTCGATGATAGTGGTACTTTGTGGTCATTGCATGCAGCGTTATCACGTATTCCGCAATGATTCGATGGAGCCACGATTTGCGCCGCAGACGCCGCCGCTGCCGCCGCCGCCGCTGCGGTAACGGCTTCCGTTGCGCCGCCTGCGCCCAAGATGATCTGGTAGCGCTCCGTAAACCTTGCAAAGGGATCCTCCGAGGAGTCCGCGCCGCGTGTCGCTTGGACGAGAGGAGGAGAAGCTTCGTGACTCAACCAAGCCGCGCCGGGATGACGGACGGTTGCGGGGACAATACTTCTGCCGCTGGAAGCGCCTCGCTGATCACTGATCGCTAAATTGGCAATTTGGGGGGAGCGGTTTGTGCCTGGGGCTGTTTCTCGACTCTTTGCAGCGCTGATAGTCTGCGCAACTTCCGCCAACGCCGCTACGTTGGCAGAACGCGCCGCCACGAAAGCTGCCGCCTCGATGGTTCTCTCTCTTATTGATGCGGCTGGATCGGGTTCGACGTATTGTCGACGTGATTTCTGTTTGCTATTATTGAGAACACCGAGCGAGAGCGAAAGTGTCAGATCGACGTCAGCTTCGCCGATCCGTGCGGCGTCTGCTGCGGCTTTGTTCGCGCAAATCGGAGGCTCGTCGTCAGGAAAATATCCATCGATGGAGCGGGGATGAGGCGACCGAAGGATAGCGCCGGATGCGGGATCAAGTATCGCTTCGCCCTCGTGACGCATCCGTTTGGGCTGAGGTCCGCAGGAGACACATTTGACGGCACAATCCATCGAAATCGAGTTACAACCGTCTGAACACTGACGTGATAAAGAGAAGCGACTGTGCTCGCCGCGTGAAGACAGGCCCGAGAAAGGTGATTCGGTGCTTGTTCGGTTGGAGCAGCAAAACGTGGGTTTTGGTGCAGCAAAATGCTGACTGGGAAATGCTGAACAGCAGCAGTGATCTAACGGGGATTGAAGAAGCATTTCCAATTTCGCAATGCGCGATTTTCTCGCGGCGGCAAAGTGGGAACCGACATGGTCATGACGGAGTTTTGTGACGGGCAGAACTACCATACTTCATTGTAATCGGTGTACACACTCCGTGCTCTATTTTCCCAGCCTTCGACTGTAACAATTTTAGCTACTCGCTTTGTTTGATTGAAAGAATGTAGAATGTACTGACACTGAGATAGGAAATCCGCGAGAACTGAGAAATTCCGTTGCTGGCCTCCAGAAGACAAGCATAGCCCCGACGCAGAGGCTCTGTTGGCGATCATTCCCAACGCGATTTCGTTTTTGGGGGAGATAGAGTCCAGGGGCGGGGTCAGATCGCGACACCGTGACTCCCTCCAGTCCCGACTCCCGAGAAGTGGGGCAGATTTCGGTTTCATGTACGTGTATTGGATACCTCACGCGTGGCAGCAATGGTGTCACCGCGTCGAGGCACTTGCGATGCGTGAATTTTCGGGGTGTGACCTCAGCATTTCGGAAATTGGGGCGACCAACTATGGCAGTGCTTTGACCTGAGGACTGCTGGCATGACAGGGGTTGGTCTCTGTCAATTGGCTGGCGGCCTGCGTCCGATTGTTCCGCATGAGCGAAGGAAGTGAGGTTGGAAGGGCCAACATCATAGACATGCAGATTTTTATGGTAACCCTATCCAATGGTATGCAAAACCGTCTTACCTCAGTTTTGGATCTATCGACATGCTGCCCTACTACCGCGTTTGTTTTTATTTCGAGCAGTGATCCCTACCGCGCTTGCCTTCGCACTAAGACGTGATTTCTTCGGGCCAAGAAAAACATAAAACCCAATCGGAACGGGATGCGTCAGGGAGGCATCAACCCTAAAAACAATGTCCTTTCCCGTGTTTAGGGTTGATCCCTCCCAGAAATGAGTCCAGTTCCCTATGGGTTTTTATTGTTTTCCAGCCCTGGCCTAGCACTTCTAAGTAGCAATATATTGGGTGCAATATATTGTTACAAAACGGACCCCGTATAATTTTATTCCAATGGATTGGATTCTTTCGTAAATGTATCGTGCACATTCAGCGGAAAATAGTAGTCTGGAGGAATATTTGTTAGACGCCAAACGGGGCGCGGTAAGAACCACAAAAATACGAAATCGAAAATGCAACCGATTACATCTCATATTTCTTCCTTTTTTGTTCTGCGTCAGCTGTTAGACAGTGCTTTGAGTGGCGCTACCAGACAAACTTGCGCAGCAGAACTAGGGTATCGACGGTTTTGCATACCGTTGGATAGGGTTACCATACTAATTTGCATGTCTATGATGTTGGCCCGAGTTGGAAGGAAGAACGCCTGGTCAGATATTTCGCGGAACCCAGCACAGACAAGAACGGTTGCGTCTGTAACGAACAAGGCCACAAGCATTGGTCGCATTCAATGAGGGGCAAGGAGCAGCTGTTTGCTAATGTCAAACGAGGTCACCCTACAAGCCTCCCGAAACAAAAGGCTCGCATGAAACCATCACAATTGGCAGGGGTTCCAGACAATCAGTAAACAGACTGGCCCTGCTTAAGAACCAGTTTGGGACTGCTGATGCTTAACCAGCCATAATTCCACTGTCTGTGCTAGGTGCTGGTGTTTCAACTACAATATTCGAATCACTAGCTGAGCCCCTGGAATATTGGTAGATTAACTCCATCGAGGCTCGGGCGCGTCGCACAACTTGAAATTTCCGACCCAGCAGTAACAACTTTCCTTTCTTGACTGCAACAAAACTGCAGTTTCCAGCTCAGCTATAGTTGGCCTGGTCTGGGATATGGTGGCTTCGCGCGGGTCGAGGTCCCAGACTCCCAAGCCGTGACTGCCAAGCGTGCAATGTCTGGCGAGGCGAGATACACGCGAACAAGAGATACACGTGTATAGGGTGCTCAATGCCTCAGTTGTGCAGTTCCGATATCCAGACGCAATTCTTTTTGTTGTTAAATAATTCTAGTGTAGTCAACAAACCCTAAGCCAATAATGCAGGAGGCAGTCTTTCTCAAAATGTGCAACATGCGCAACTCATTGTACCATTAGGGTTTGTGCTAGATTACAAGTAATGCAACACTCGACATTTCAACCAAACACAGAAAAACACACGACAACTCACTAGCCCCGAATGCCAACCATCATGTGATCGGAATCATGCCGAAAGCAGAGAGCCGTAAGAACCAGCCCCAGTGTCACAGGCCAGGAGGATCCTACTGCATCAACCAAAGCCTGCCGTGCAACCACCGGTATGATAGCTCTGAGGCTCCCCAGTGGAGATTTCTCTGAGGCGCCTGAAAAGGCAGGAAGGTTCCAACAGTACCAGAGAGCCTGCCATGGAGCTCCACTGGGCTGCCCGAGAGACTCTCTGCTCTCCCCATGATTCATTCCAACGAGCCACATGATAGCCACCACTACGGCTGAACCTACTCAAACCACTCCCCACTGCCCTTTACCCCCCATGCCCCCCCACTCCCTATTGAACCCCCAATCCAAACTATCTCAAACACAACACCTTCTCAACCCCCACTTACGCCCCTCTCCTCCTCACACCATGACCACCATCAACCTCCATCTTCCACTGGGCATCCATTACCCAGGGATTTACCTAGTACACGGAATTCCATCGCCATAAACCACCTCATCTGATTATTCGTTCCGCCCGAATGACCACCAAGAGGAAAGGTCACCTAGAGATCCCACAGGTTGAACTCCGACAGCTGCAGAAACACAACAGCCCCAGGCCCCTCATGGGAACCCAGGCAAGCATGGGCTGTAGCCGCTACAGCGGGCAAGAGACATTATCATTCAGAGATCCCACAGGGTGAACTCCGACAGCTGCTGAAACACCCCAGCCCCGGGGCCCTCATGGGCTGTCCCCACTACAGCCGGCACAGAGCCTAGCATGTCCAAGCCATCGCAAAAACCAGCATGATCATCCAACACGAGCATGCGCCCATGTTCCATAGCCATCTTGCCTTCATATTCCATCCCCATCCCCATCATCCCCGTCTGCATCATCCCCGGCTCGTCCAGGGGAGTCTCGTGCAGCAGCGACGGCATGTTGCAGTCCAGGTCGCAGTCGCCATCTAGCCAGAAGGAGAATGCGGAACGAGCCGTGGAGCCGTGCGTGTCAGTGTCAGTGCCAGGGTTCCCGATGCTGCCCTCCAGAAACGACTCCAGGCTATCCAGGCTGTGAAGCCTGTCAATACCATCGTGACCGTCGGTGCCATCGCCATTGCTGTCGCTGATGTCATTGCTGTTGTTGCCATCGTCGCTACCAGAGAAGCTATTGCAAGGCCCGGTGCTCTTCTCACTGCCCGAATCACTGCTCTTCCCCCCATCCACTGCAGCAAGAAGCGGCTTCAACGCCGCTTCCAAGTCGCTCTCCTGCACCCCCTCAGCACTGCACTCCACCGCTCCAGACTCCTCCGTACCGTCGCCAACCAGCTCCCCGACCCACTCTCCAGCCGCGAACCTCCTAGCAGCCGGCCCACCGGTCACCTCCACCATGCCCCCCTTGCCCTCCACAGCCTTAAGCGCCGCTGCCAGCTCAGCAACGGCGTCCTCCGCGCCCTGCCACGTGGCACACCCACGGGCCGCCGTCAGCAGCGCGTCGGCTGTAGTGGCCGGCATCAGCACGGGGAGCAGGGCAGGGCCGGTCTTCTCAGAAGAGCCTTCAGCTGTGCTGGCTGTAGCGCCTGCAGAGGCTGCGTCGCCTGCACTGTCTGTAGCGCCTCCTGCAGCAGCTGCATCGCCTGCAGCACCTGTAGCGGCAGGACAGCAGGATTTGCCCTTTGGAGGAGGCGGCGGGGGGAAGTTGAGTTGTGCCTTGGGTCCGCGCAGCAGCCAGGCGGCCATGTCATACACGCGCGCGGCGTCCTCCCACGAGTCAAACGACCCCAGCCAGATGCGCGACCGCCGGCTCGGCTCTCGGATCTCCGTCACCCACTTGCCCCACCGCCGCTGCCGCACACCCTTATACATCCCGCTGCCCGGCGTGCCGCCCAACGCCGCCGCTGCCGCTGCCGCACCAGCCGCATCTGCCGCTGTGATGGTTGGCGCAGAGATCTCGGAATCAGCGCTCTCCACAGCAGCGCTTCCCCCTCCTGCGCTACCACTTCCGACGCTGCCGCTGTCCGCAGCAGACTCGGAGCGTTGGCAGTGCTTGCTTGCTCGGTGATCGCCGCCGCGTGACTTGCGCCCAACACTCAGCGCCCGACCACTGCCACTGCCAGTGGCAGTCGCAGTCGCGACCTGCGGCTTCTCTCCCCCTACAACCGCCACCGCCGCCATCGTTTTGCTCCGCTTATTTCCTGTGCCTGACCCGCGCGGTCGTCCGCGGCGCCGTTTCTCCCCCAGAAGCGCGGGGCTGGCAGGAGTTTCGCTCGGAGCAAGCGCAGCAGCTCCGCCGAATCCGCGGAAAGCAGCCAGCGCGGCCGCCGGCGGCGGAGGCAACGCGAAAGGAACCCCTGGGGGCGGCAGCATGTGGAACCCCGCCGCGAATGCCGGCGGAACGGGAATCACGGGGCTCCACATGCTGCCGCCTCCTGATAGAGCGGCAGCAGCACCCATCGCGCCGCCGCCACCGCCGCCGCAGCTCGCGGCGCGAATATCACCTGATGAATAATGCGCTGGTGGAAAGTAGCGGCCAGAAGCGCCTGGAACCGCATTTGACCCGCCAATAAACTCGGATTCTCTGGCGTGGAATGATACTCCCGGCGGCCCGCCGGGAGCGGAGGGATAGGCAGCGTGAATTGGACAGGTGACTCCTCCGTCGTTCATGGCGCGAGTCACGGCGGATACGGGGGGATTATCGCCGAGCGTCGAGTTGTCTCGAGTTCCCCGCGATCGGCGGCGGAGCTGGAGCTGCTTGCGCTTTGCCACGTGGACGGCCTGCACGAGCCCCGCGATGGCGGTCTGCGCCGACGAGATGGCCTCCTCTAACGCCGCGTCGCTGGTCCCGTCAATCGTGGCGGAAAGGGCGGAAGGCGTGGACGAATGAGCTGAATCCATTGAAGAGATGATTGGTTCGAATGGAAGGCTGATGGTAAGCGGCGGAAGGGGCGGACGGGGCGGATGGGGCGTAGGGGGCGGACGGGGCGGAAGGGGCGGATTCCCAGGATGCACGACGGCGGCTGATAGCCGTATGATGGTAGAGTGCTCGACCTTGGATCGACGAGAGTCGGACTCCTGCAGCGGCGATGGTAGAGGTTTCAGCCGCTGCACGCGTAGTGAGCGCTGCTTCAAGCAGATCTCCCGGAATAGTAGGGGCAATTCCGCGTCTCGCACTGAAAGGACACTGAAGGCTTGATGATCAAGCACTGAGCGTGTCGACGGGTTAGTAGTGAGTATCCTTCGGTCATATAATATTCCGTCGAACGTAGCAGTTCCCCCTTCCACGATGATATGCTCTTCCGTCGAGCCGACGATCACGTTGCGTCCACAGGTTAGTCGGGGGTAGGTCCCGCCTGTACCCGTTCGCGCGCTCCCGGCTCAGCCAATGAGCGGCGAGCTTCGAGTCACGCACGATCGACGAAGCGAGTGAGAAGCGAGACGAAATCCGAGGGAGGGTACATCTGCGCGTCCCAAAATTCTAGAGCAAGTAGCGAGACGGGATTCAAGGGCGGGCGGATCTACCAGGAGCGCGTAAGGCGCATTCTAGGGGGAAAGCACTGCTCCAACAGGTGGTAACTGCCGCAGCTGGCGCGTGCTGGTTCTGCTTTACTGACAGCGTACAGGGACGCGACTGGGTATTGAGTGGACGAAATCACGGCGCTTGAATCCTAAGCGCGCGGGGAGGGGAAGTTCCCTTCGCCGGGGATTCCTTGTTGCCGTGCTGTCTTGGTTCGCGGAGGAGGATGAGGCTCCCTGAACAAGGCTCCTGCTTGGCTGCGGCCGAACCAACAAATTCGTTACCGGGGCGGAAAACAAGCGAGCATTCTTCCACTTCGGGCAACGGGGCGAGTCGATCCACCGAGGCGAGAGCCGGAGCGCGAATCTGCGTCTTCTTTCCCCCGACCCCGACGGGTCATCGGAACACTGCAGAGCCGTACGTTACAGCGAATGATTACGGCTCTGCGGTGACAGCTGTAATCTCGGATGGAGCCAAAAAGGTTGGATTCTGGATGCCATACTTAGCTGTCCGTGTAAGCAGCCATGCTGTGCCTCCGTAACTCGACCTATTTCTCGCCTCCTCCCGCGTCGTGTGTCTCTGCACTCCAGCTTCTGGATCAAGCTAGGTTACGTGTGGAACCATGCTATGCTCGAAAGGGTGAACTCCAAATTCTCAACACACTTTTCCACAAACCAAGAGCTTGGGTCGGAAGCTGAATAATCTCAGCCAAGGGTATATATAATATGATCCCCGCTTACATGCCCCCTTGCGGGTTCTTACGAACAAAAACAGCTGTCAGGGTTGTTTTTAACGAGAACATGACGTGTACGTTTTTTGGCGGGGGGTCGGTTTCCCCTACCCGCTGTCTAGTTCCCCTCTTCATCGCCCCTCCCTTGCACCCTTCGCTAAAATATCCCGCCTCTTCTCCTGAATGATACACGCGCAATATCCGCGAAGTCCCTTCCCGCACCAGACGAAGCCAAGTTGCGGGGGAGGCTACTGGCTACCCAGCCCCGCCGTGGTAGCCACCAGCTGGCGCTCAGCTCGTGGACTCCTCGTGTTGAGCGTGCGGGGTGCGAGTTGGACGAAGGGGCACGCACAGAGCTCGAAGAAGGTGCGGCATTTCGATCAGGAAGTCCCTTCGAATGTTGAGAGAACCTTCCGTTCAAGCTGGTCGTGCAAGCTTTGGGGGCAGATTGTTCTGAACTGTACAGTGTGAACACTCTCCTCCACAAGGCATTGCTGCATGGTTGGAATCAAACGGTGTGCAATTCTCTTCCCAGTTGTACAATCCGTACACGCGGGCATGTGAAAACACTTGACTGCATGATTTCCGTTGAACCTCGCAGGCTTCCGTTGCTGCGCTGGAGAAAACAAATTTGAAGGCACGCTTCTTGCATCTTCCTCATCTGGGCAGGGCAGTGGCCTGGGCATTCGTGCTGAAACGTCGAGTAGGTTCATCTGGCTTGTGAGCCAAGCTGGAAAGGTTTGGCCGCCACGTGGAATCCTCGTGAGCGTCGCGGAAATGCAACCGTCCCGATTATGTTCGCATAACACTATGCTTGTGACGAATCACTAAAACGCTGTGAGTATACTTCACAAATAAATGGTGTCTTTCCACAGATGGCAGACAATGTGCTTTCTCGAGTTGACATTTGCTGATGTTTTTATGCAGCAAAACTGCTACCGTACCAGTAACCTGACGTGTTATCATTCTTCTTCAACACTAGCCAGAGTACAATATTGTGGTCTTATAACCTAGCACAACCATGCTTAGCTCATCCACTGTCACTGCCACAATCAGCAAACCTCGGATACCACCCGATACCACAATCGAAAGCAACTAGCATAGGTCACAACATTTGCAGGGTCAATCATGCCCCCGTCCTACAGCTGGTTGCGCAGACGGCGAAGCAGCACAGAGACATCGCTTGCATGGTCGGCTGAGTACCGCTCAAACCGGCGGCGAATTGGGGCTGGAGGAGGGGCAGGCTGCCCCGCAGGCACATTGAGGTAGGTGTGGAACAGCGCATGCCACATGTCATGATTCCAATACCTGCCAGCCAGCCATCCATGGCAGAGAGCAGCAAGCAAGAGAGCAGTGGCATGAACACACAAAGTGAGATAATAGCGGCTGGAGGAGGGGCAGGCTGGCCACATTGAGGTAGGTGTGGAACAGCGCATGCCACATGTCATGGTTCCAGTACCTGCCAGCCAGCCATGGCTGTAAGTGAGAAAGCAGTGGTGCAAACACACAGAAAGAATCCACCAAGCTCCTCGAAAACATCCCACAGGCAACTGACGCGAGGGGGAAACTACGCAAGCGGAAACTTAGGCTGACCTCTTGAGGTGGAGCCTTGGGCGATAGTAAGAAACATTTTCAGCCTCAGAGCTAGCAGCCACGACATCATCACAACCGTCCACATCCGCTGCTCCACTGGCACCGCCCTCCCCTGCAGGCACCCTCTCGACCTCCATGTACTGCCCGTGCAGCAGGCAGTAGGCAGTAGCACACACCGCGTAGAGATCGGCCTGGATAGGAGCGGCACCGGAAGGCATGGGACAGGAAGAGGGAGGAGCGGCATAGAAAGGTGTGGTTAGAAGTTTGGGCGCAGAGTGCGTAGGGACGAGTGTAGAGTGAGTGTGCTCAAACACATCTACGCTGTACCCCACACTTGATCAACACCATGTCACAGAAGGGCCATGGCATACCACACACAAATCAGCACCATACCACGCTGTACCACACAGATACCACATTCTACCGCATGGCTACTACTTCGCACCACACTTGCCATACCTGGGTGGTCCATGGCCGCCCCTCCACCATCTCTGGGCACCGAAAGTTGCAAGCCACACTGTACCACACCACACCACACACATACCACACTGTGTCGTACCTGCGTGGTCCACGGGCGCCCCTCCTCCATCTCCGGGCATCGGAAGTTCTCCGTGCCGCTGTCAGAGACGAAAGAGGAACCTTCTGGGAAGTGCCGCATGTCAATGCTGCGGCCGTAGTCCACAAGGGTGAGACCCTGAAGGAGTGGAGAGGAGTGAGTAGTGGGGAGGAGTGAGGAGTGGGAAGACGTGAGGAGTGGGAAGGAAAGAGGAGAGTGAAGGAGTGAGGAGTGGGGAGGAGTGAGGACCGGTGAATTAGAGAGGCGGATGGGAGATGTCAAGTTGTCTACTGGTGGATGAAGGGATGACAGATGAGAGATGGAGTGATAGTAGGCAGGGGACCGGGGATGCTCGGTGATAGGAGGCATAGAACGAGCAACATATGTTTGCTGCAGTTGCATCTGACCCAGTACAGACTGAGGATGGGGCTGTTTCTGAATTCAGGCATCTTGGTACAGCCTACCAGACTTGCTGCAATGCAATGGGAGTGGAACCGAGCGAGCTTGGCACAAAGAATGTTCAGTTGCTGTCAGGCCTTTGTGTTTAATTGATTGGTAGAGTCTCAGAGTGGGTTGGAGAGCAGAAGGTGAGATAAAGCTTAGAGATGCGAACAAGAATCAAGTCAAGAGTGAGATTGAGTGAGTCAAGGACAAGCCGTACCGTGGAAGGTGCACCGGCCTCGATTGCAGCAACCATCTCCCTGGGACTCTCACTGTCAGCCCTGCAATGAAGCGCGCATGACAATATGCAGGCAGAACGGGGAAGCCATGTTGCAGCACAAACTTCAGGCTCCTCTGCTTCCTTGCAATCTCTACCCTATGAGGCATCTAAAATCCCACACGAGAACAAAATTGAGGTGCTCAGAACGAGGAAATCACGTTGCAGGTAGCAGCACACAGCAACACATACCCGAATCGCAGGAGAAAGTTGTCTGGCTTTATGTCGCCATGCAGGATGTGAGCAGCGTGCAAGGCCTCCACAGCTCGCAGCATGCAGGGCATCCCACTCCTCACTTACTGTCTTCCAGCAACACGAGCAGCAAGCAGGGCATCCCACTCCTCACTTACTGTCTTCCAGCAACACGAGCAGCAAGCAGGGCATCCCACTCCTCACTTACTGTCTTCCAGCAACACGAGCAGGAAGCAGGGCATCCCACTCCTCACTTACTGTCTTCCAGCAACACGAGCAGCAAGCAGCAAGGCGCAGAGCAGCAAGCACCACTTAAAGCACGTACCCGAACCGCAGGAGGAAGTTATCGGGCTTGATATCCCCATGCAGGATGTGAGCAGCGTGCAAGGCCTCCGCAGCTCGCAGCATCTGCGCCGTGTAGAAGGCGCACAGCGGCTCCGGCACCGGCTTGCCTTGCTTCTTGAACGCATTCACCACGTCCTGAAAGGGGAGGCGGTTGGTGGGGATGGGCGGTGAGTGGGTGGGGTTGGGTGGTGACGAGGTGCAAGTTTAAGGCAGGCGCACAGCGGCTCCGGCACCGGCTTGCCTTGCTTCTTGAACCCATTCACCACGTCCTGAAAGGGGATGCGGTTGGTGGGGATGGGCGGTGAGTGGGTGGGGTTGGGTGGTGACGAGGTGCAAGTTTAAGGCAGGCGCACAGCGGCTCCGGCACCGGCTTGCCTTGCTTCCTGAACGCATTCACCACGTCCTGAAGGGGAGGTGGTTGGTGGGGATGGGCGGTGAGTGGGTGGGGTTGGGTGGTGACGAGGTGCAAGTTTAAGGCAGGCGCACAGCGGCTCCGGCACCGGCTTGCCTTGCTTCTTGAACGCATTCACCACGTCCTGAAAGGGGAGGCGGTTGGTGGGGATGGGCGGTGAGTGGGTGGGGTTGGGTGGTGACGTGACGAGGTGCAAGTTTAAGGCAGGCGCACAGCGGCTCCGGCACCGGCTTGCCTTGCTTCTTGAACGCATTCACCACGTCCTGAAAGGGGAGGCGGTTGGTGGGGATGGGCGGTGAGTGGGTGGGGTTGGGTGGTGACGAGGTGCAAGTTTAAGGCAGGCGCACAGCGGCTCCGGCACCGGCTTGCCTTGCCTCTTGAACGCATTCACCACGTCCTGAAAGGGGAGGCGGTTGGTGGGGATGGGCGGTGAGTGGGTGGGGTTGGGTGGTGACGAGGTGCAAGTTTAAGGCAGGCGCACAGCGGCTCCGGCACCGGCTTGCCTTGCTTCCTGAACGCATTCACCACGTCCTGAAGGGGAGGTGGTTGGTGGGGATGGGCGGTGAGTGGGTGGGGTTGGGTGGTGACGAGGTGCAAGTTTAAGGCAGGCGCACAGCGGCTCCGGCACCGGCTTGCCTTGCTTCTTGAACGCATTCACCACGTCCTGAAAGGGGAGGCGGTTGGTGGGGATGGGCGGTGAGTGGGTGGGGTTGGGTGGTGACGAGGTGCAAGTTTAAGGCAGGCGCACAGCGGCTCCGGCACCGGCTTGCCTTGCTTCTTGAACGCATTCACCACGTCCTGAAAGGGGAGGCGGTTGGTGGGGATGGGCGGTGAGTGGGTGGGGTTGGGTGGTGACGTGACGAGGTGCAAGTTTAAGGCAGGCGCACAGCGGCTCCGGCACCGGCTTGCCTTGCTTCTTGAACGCATTCACCACGTCCTGAAAGGGGAGGCGGTTGGTGGGGATGGGCGGTGAGTGGGTGGGGTTGGGTGGTGACGAGGTGCAAGTTTAAGGCAGGCGCACAGCGGCTCCGGCACCGGCTTGCCTTGCCTCTTGAACGCATTCACCACGTCCTGAAAGGGGAGGCGGTTGGTGGGGATGGGCGGTGAGTGGGTAGGGTTGGGTGGTGACGAGGTGCAAGTTTAAGGCAGGCGCACAGCGGCTCCGGCACCGGCTTGCCTTGCCTCTTGAACGCATTCACCACGTCCTGAGGGGGAAGAGAGGTGAGAGAGTGGGGGTGGGTGGTGAGGTCGAGAGGTGAGAGTGGGGAAGGGGGTGGGTGGGTGGTGAGGATGGCATGCAGTAGGCACGTGCATAGCTCCTCTGGCACTGGCTTTCCCGGCTTCTTGAATGCGTTCATCAAGCGAGGATGGGGCAATTGGGTATGCGTGTGAGAGCCCCTACGTGCGTGTACACACCTGAACAACACTTGCATACTCACATGCATGCTCACATGCCAGCTCACCTGCAGGGTGCCGCTAGTGCCAAGGGAGCATGTGAGGATGGACGCATTGGGGAACTCGTGGTAAGCAGACGCCGCGCCAAACAGTTGCCGCTGGTGGGGGAAAAGGGGGGGGCAGAGGAGAGGAGGAAGGGAAGGGAAGGGGAGAGAGTAGTGAGGGCGGAAGGGAGAATGGCAGGAGGAAATTGATGTAAAGAGGATGAGCATGTACATGGAAAGCAGGGAGGGGAATGATGGTATGAACACAGGCATCAGGCAAGAGTATCAGGGCCAGAATTTAGAGGAACCAAGTGCGGCAAAGGTGCGTGGATGAAGGACAGGGACGAAGGGTAATAGCCTAGGCACCTGTGGGCCGTCGATTCGCAATTGGATCTGACGGTATATGTAGAACTCCCAAGGGCATGCCTTGGAGTGGAGCTGCAAGACAAAGCGATGGGTGGAGGCATAGATGATGGATGCGACAGGTTGGAAGACAGCATTCACAGGCATCAATAAACCAAATCAAACCAGCTACGTGTGATGCTGCTATTTATTTGAAGAAAGAACCGACACATCACCCCTGTAGCTGTATCTGTTGGAACACCACAGTACCTTGAGGGACACAGTGCGGAACACCACAGTGCTCTCTGTGGCTGCACCCATGCAACTGGAACACTCACTGAGCACACACCTGCTAGCACACCACACAACCAACCTACCGCACATCTACTCACACACAAGGGTAGGAAGGAGCTGCTGCATACCTTGAGGGCCACAGTGCGGAACACCACAGTGCTCTCTGTGGCCGCGTCTGCCACCCCAGCAGGGGTCTCTGTGGCTCCATAAACCTTTGCATACGCACCCTTCCCCAGCAGCCGATCCACCTCGTAGCTCCTGCTGCCTGCAGAGCGGAGTGGGTGGGTGGTGGGTTCACAGAAAGAGCCCGGGAGATCTGCTTTTGAGTCGACTCAAAAACAGAAAGAGCCCGGGAGATTAGATGCTTGCTTGCTGCAGTGTCTGCTGCCCCAGAAGCGGTCTCCGTGGCGCCATATACCCTCGCGTATGCACCCTAGCCCAACAGTCGAGCCACCTGGTAGCTCCCGCTGCATGCAGAACGGGTGGGGGAGGGAGGCGCAGAGAGAGCGTGGGAAGCAGGGAAAGTGATACCTGAGAGCCTGGTCAGGAGAGGAGGGAGATGGCTGACACCTAGGTAAGAAGAGAGAGAGGTGGGAGCATAGTGGCAAGCAGGCAGGCAGAGGGAGAGGAAGGAGCATGTCAGCTCAGCAGCAGGGGGTGGGGTGGGGTGCGTACCAAGGCGCAGGTCCACGGGCTCCCCTGCTTTGCCTTCCCTCAGCGCCTTGAGCCTGGCCGGCACGTGCAGCGGGTCTGAGTGCCGCTGGTATCCCTTCATGGTGGTCATGGGTGGAAGGGAGGGAGCGAGGGTGGGAGGGGGTGGAAGGGAGAGGAGGGGAAGACGGGGATACATGCGTTGCCGGTACATGCAGCAGGAGGGAGGGAGGGAGGGAGGGAGGGAGGGAGGGAGGGAGGGAGGGAGGGAGGGAGGGAAGAAGGGGGAACAAGAGGGGTGGGCACTGGAGGTAAGGGAGGGGGTGGACTGAAAAGGGACAGCAGATATGCATTGGAGGTAAGGAGTGGACGATTGGCTCACAGGTTCGCTAGTGAGAGGGGGTTGAAGGGCGGCAAGGAGGGAGGCCCGCATAGACGTGCTCCAGGGGTTGACCTGCTGGGGCGGGCCCGCTGGAAAGGTGGGCACCTGTGGCACACCGGGGGACGGAGGGGGACAGAGGAACAGAGGCAGAAAGGGGTAACCCATTCAAGTGGTTGCCTGCACAACCCTTGCGCAATGATGAAAGGTGCCCTCAACGCTGAGCAACTGGCGTTGGCCTGCTGGGGCAGGCAGGCCCGCTGCAAAGGCGGGCCGATGTTGCACACATGGGGCGCTGCAAAGGCGGGCGGATGTTGCACACATGGGGCGCTGCAAAGGCGGGCTGATGTTGCACACATGGGGCGCAGCGCACGGACAGTTCGGGTTGGGATCACTGTTTGGGAGTTGGCTTGAATACAACCTTTGAGGAGTTGGCTTGAGAGGAAGCGCAGCACAGCATGAAGGTTGCAGGGAGTTTTTGAGAATTCTCAACAACTCCCTGCAACGTTGAGGAGTTGGCTTGAGAGGAAGGGCAGCACAGCATGAAGGTGGGAACGGCAGTTTCCAGAGCAGGTTCGAGAGGGATGATGAAAGAGGAAGCGAGGCTTGATCTAGTGATTCCTGGAGAAGATATGGTATGGTATGACGTGGTACAGGGGTATGGTATGGCATGGTACGGTATGGCATGGTACGGTATGGCATGGGGTATGGTGATAAGATGCTCACCCTGGAATGCTGGGGAAAGCGCCTGCAGACTACTGTGGGATCATTCTGTGGACAAGGGTTCATAGCAAGGAGCAAAGAAGCAAGAACGTTTATACATATATACTAAACATCTTACGTAGTCATGGGCCGGCTTGCTCATGCACAGAAAGGCATGAAGGGGAGGGATGGGATATGTTTGTACAACGAACGTGTAAGAGGGGATCAGATATACCAGCAAAGCCAGTTTGGTCACGAATGGTTTCAGAACAAAACAGAACCGCAGGATCAAACCAAAGATGCAGCAGATCTCTCACTTGCACATGCTCTGTCAAACTAAAACAGAAAACAACGAGTTCTGAGGCGTTGTACTAGGCAATAAGGCAATAAAGCTCTCACCTGCGCATGCACCGTGTGATCAAATGAGAGGAAATCCCCCTCGATTCTCCCACCACCAGCATCAGCACCACCAGCACCAGCACCACCACCACCAGCTCCAGCAGCCCCATCCTGTCCCCTCTGCTGTTGCAGCATCTGCCTGAACCCCTGCACCCTCTCCTCCTCCATGCCTAGCTCACTCAACCCCCCGGTGAGCCCACTCCCCTCCACTTCCTCCTCCCCCTTACTCCCCCTCTTCCTCCGCCCACGCTTGCCCGCGCCCCTCTCGCCCCCCTCCGCCTCCCCACCCCTAGCTTCCCCTTCACCAGCCGCACTCCGCTGCTCACAACCCCCTGTCCCTGCATCCTCCTCTGCTCTCTCTTCCCCTACATCCTCGGCCATTCTTGCTTCCCCTGTACCCTCCCTTCCCTGCCTGCCACTCCCTGACTCTGCTCTATCTGCTGCAGCTGATGAGAAGTCTGGCGAGCCATCTGCCATTGAAGGCCCTGGGTTGGCTGTGGGATTTGGATGGGTTTCCAAGGTTGACCGAGAGGTTGAGAGTGGTGTGGCGTGCATGTAGAGCGGTGGAGGCAGGTTCCTGTGGCGCAGCCAGTATAGATAGCGCTGCTCCTCGAAGCTCGTCTCCTGCTCCTGGCATGGCCCTGTGGGGAAAGGCACGGAGCAGGTTCAGAGACGTTTCAGAAGGCACTAAGTGAGTATTATTAGGAAGCATGAGGTGAGCGCTAAGAGAGTTTGGGTTGGAGACAGCATTGCTCCTCGAAGTTCACCTCTTGCTTCTCGCATGGCCCCGGGGAAAGGCATGGAGCCTAAGAAGCCCTGAGATGGATGAGGGAGTGACTTTGTGGGATGTGATGCCACAGCTGGCGAGAAATAAAACAGCGGCGAGCGATCAAGCTCGGACAAAAGGACTGTGCTAGAACAGCGGCGGCGAGAAATCAACGGGGAACAAATGATGTGACCTGCGCTACCTGTGTTTGGAGCACATGCTGCTTCAGACGAGCCCCGACGAGCTGACTTTTGAGTCGTTTCAAAAGTCAAATCAACGCGGCTACCTGTGTTTGAAGCAGATTCTGCTTCAGACGAGCCCCGACGAGCCCCCACCTCGCCCCGCACTCTGCACGGACAACAGCCGGGAGGGAGTGGGATTACAGAGGGGCTAACAACAAAGGAACCAAGGCAAATGCACCCAGACGGTAAATGGCCACTATGCACACCCACGCATCCAAACAGTACCACCCCAATCTACAATTCACAGTTCCACGCTACACAAAACGCCTGATCCTGCCGTGTCACCCCATCCATCCACACTCCTCCTCTACCCTCCCTCAATCCTCCTTTACACCACTCACGTCCACCCTCGCCTGTTGGCACCTCCACAGAGGCACCTCAGAAGCAGACCCCCTTGCTCACCTAGCAGACCCCCTTGCTCACCTAGCAGACCCCCTTGCTCACCTAGCAGACCCCCTTGCTCACCTTTCCCGTGCCACCTCTGCATGCCCGTCTTGGTCCCTCTCCACCTCCACCCGCGGCTGGTTTTGAGTCGACTCAAAACCTTGCTCACCTTTCCCGTGCCACCTCTGTATGCCCGACTTGGTCCCTCTCCACCTCCACCCGCGGTTGCAGCACCCTCCTCCTTGCCGCGCCTCCCCCCAGCCCCCTGCGCATCCTATTCGTAGCCGAAGGGCTGCAGAGAGTGAGGAGGTCAGGTGGAAAAGGGAACCATCGGGAGCAGCACACATTGTTTTTGAGACGTCTCAAACACACCCTCTTTTCACGTGGCTTCTCGTAGCCAAAGGGCTGCAGAGAGTGAGGAGGTCAGGGAGGGAAGGAAACCATCGGGAGCAACACACATTGGGGACAGACAGACACAGCAGTCAGTCAGACATATTCGCTCGGCGTGAATGGTTGCCTGCCTCCTCGCGCTCCACGCCTCCGCATTTTAAGTCGACTCAAAAGTGAATGGTTTCCTGCCTCCTCGCGCTCCACGTCTCCGCCTTTTGAGTCGACTCAAAAGTGAATGGTTTCCTGCCTCCTCGCGCTCCACATCTCCGCCTTTTGAGTCGACTCAAAAGTGAATGGTTTCCTGCCTCCTCGCGCTCCACGTCTCCGCCTTTTGAGTCGACTCAAAAGTGAATGGTTTCCTGCCTCCTCGCGCTCCACGTCTCCGCCTTTTGAGTAGACTCAAAAGTGAATGGTTTCCTGCCTCCTCGCGCTCCATGTCTCCGCCTTTTGAGTCGACTCAAAAGTAAATGGTTTCCTGCCTCCTCGCGCTCCACGTCTCCGCCTTTTGAGTCGACTCAAAAGTGAATGGTTTCCTGCCTCCTCGCGCTCCATGTCTCCGCCTTTGAGTCGACTCAAAAGTAAATGGTTTCCTGCCTCCTCGCGCTCCACGTCTCCGCCTCTTCACCTCCTCACCACGCACCTCCTCACCACGCACCTCCTCACCACGCACCTCCTCAGCTCTTCATCCAGGAAGATGATGTACAAAGATTTCAAGGCTGATCCCTGACCCTGACTGCAGTGGTTGTGCCCATACACGAACGGCCTTTAACGATTTGCAGTGGTTGTTACCATGTTACCTCCATCTCACGCACCTCCTCAGCTCCTCATCCTCGAAGATGCCAATGCTGATCGACCCCGAGTCGGAGTCCCTCCTCGCCCGCTTGAATGCCTGCAACAACCCACACAACAGCCAGGCCTGCGTGAGCCTGAAATGCCAGAGCAGGGACGGAATCGATGAGCCTGAGATGCCAGAGCCAGTGCAGACTTTCCCACTGAGCCTCCCTTCAATTTCCAGTCAGCAACTCACGGCCAAGTTCTGAGTAGCGCACCTGGCATGTGAGCAGCGCACCTGGCATGTGAGCAGCGCACCTGGCATGTGAGCAGCGCACCTGGCATGTGAGCAGCGCACCTGGCATGTGAGCAGCGCACCTGGCATGTGAGCAGCGCACCTGGCATGTGAGCAGCGCACCTGGCATGTGAGCAGCGCACCTGGCATGTGAGCAGCGCACCTGGCATGTGAGCAGCGCACCTGGCATGTGAGCAGCGCACCTGGCATGTGAGCAGCGCACCTGGCATGTGAGCAGCGCACCTGGCATGTGAGCAGCGCACCTGGCATGTGAGCAGCGCACCTGGCATGTGAGCAGCGCACCTGGCATGTGAGCAGCGCACCTGGCATGTGAGCAGCGCACCTGGCATGTGAGCAGCGCACCTGGCATGTGAGCAGCGCACCTGGCATGTGAGCAGCGCACCTGGCATGTGAGCAGCGCACCTGGCATGTGAGCAGCGCACCTGGCATGTGAGCAGCGCACCTGGCATGTGAGCAGCGCGCCTGGCATGTGAGCAGCGCGCCTGAGATCTGTCCCATTCGGAAAGCGGAGTGGCGTTCTCGTCATGCGGCCCATGGGGACCGTCACCCATTTCATTGCTAGCTTCCCAATCACCCCCGCCCTCAAACAAACATACACCCGCCTCACCCGCCTAAGTGCTGAGCAGCGCACCTGGGATCTGTCCCATTCGGACTGCGGAGGGGTGTTCTCGTCATGCTTCCCAGTGGTGGGACCAGCACCCATTTGCTGCAAGCCACGCCGAACATCCCCACCATCGTTGCTGCTGTCCCCAGTCAAAGCACCACCCCCCGCAGCACCACTCTCCAGAGCACGACCGTCCACTGCGCGACCCTCCTTGAGTGGCGCCCTGCAGCAGCAAGCAAAGGGACACGTCGTCAGCCCCACAGCACGCCATGCCCGGCCCAACGCTCTAGCAGCAGCGCAAGGCAGTTACACTGCGGCCAGTGGGACACACCAACGAGACACCAGCTTGTGGGAGAGACACACCAACAGACACCTACAAACACCTACAAACACCTACAGAAGTCATCAAGTGGGAAACACGGACCTTGCTGCTAGCCTCGTTTCTAGGTGACTTATGAGTCGACTCAAAAGTCACCTCGTTACCATGGCACACGACTCAAGTGGGAAACACGGACCTTGCTGCTAGCCTCGTTTCTTGAGGCAAGGCCACTGGCCGCTCTGGCTCCCCGCCCACTGCTGCTGCTGGCTCATCTGTCCAAGGAACCAATCAGACCACAGCATTACACAGTCGGTTAGTCAACTCCAAAAAAGAAAACGAGAAAACACAAGCTACAAAGTGACGGGGAAAGCACCGGTACCTGCTGATGGGTTAGCTGGTGCCAACAAGCCGATCCTGGATGCTTGGTTCTGATTCGCTCCCTCTCTTCCGCTGACCAGCCTCGTATGCTCTTGCTCCTTCTGCACACGCACACCACCGTGACAGACGGTGGGACACGCCCACCCCACGCCGTTCAAGTGAGAAGACTTTGAGTGACCAACGCTTTGAGAGTCCTACCCCACATCTTTCAAGCATGGCAGCAGAGATCGTCTACTCAAGAAGGGCCTCGCAGTGCTTGGATCTGAGAAGCCTCGGAACATACACATACCACCTGCTGCTTGCGCATACTCCGCTTGGCCATTTAATCACGAAATATTTGAGAATTCTCGAAAGTGACTCTCAAACAGAGAATTCTCAAACGAGAAGGCACGAAACATACACATACCCGCTGCTGCTTGCGCAGACTCCGCGCCGCCATTCGATCACGAAACTTGCGGTACGCCTTTTGGAGCAGCTTCTGAGGCTCTTCCTCTATGCACCTACAGATATCGGGGGGGAAAGGGGAAAGGGGGGAGGGGGGAGGGAGGGAGAGAGGAGAGGGGGAGGGGGAGAGGAGGGGGAGGGGGAGGGAGGGAGAGGAGGCGGGAAGGAGGAGTGGAAGCCGTGGTGAGATGCTGGCATCGTTTGACCAAAGGATGCTACACTTCTGACGCGTCCCTTGGACATATCGGAACCTCCCCGGCACTGCACTGCACCTACCATCTAAAGACCTTCAGAACTTCAATTTATAACGTCGCAATTAAACTCGCCCTCTTTCGCCCACCTTGACTCCGACCTGCTCTGAGACGCACGAGACGAGCTCACCTCTCGAGGCCTCTCCTCTCCCGTAGACCTCAGTGACCTGTCCAAAGTCATGCATGCTTCCTCTCCAGAACCTGATTTTGAGGCGCCTACGATATCACTTGAGACGCGCACACCTCTTGAGACCTTTCCCGTAGACCGCGTTTGCCTGCTTGAAGTCATGCAAAGGTCCAGAACCGATATCTGAGGCGCCTAAAAATCGCTTGAGACGCGCTCACCTCTTGAGACCTTTCCCGTAGACCGCGTTAGCCTGCTTAAAGTCATGCAAATGCTCCAGAACCGTGGCTAATCCTTCGTAAAACAAATTGTGGCTCCACCCGATGCCCTCTTCCGTCAGAAGAGAAAAGACCTTGAGAGGGTCCCCTGTTAGGCCCGCCTGCGAGAACACCAAGAACAGGATAGAAGGTACGTGAATAGTCACCACCGTGACAAAGGATTTCAATTCTTAATTGACACCTGACGGAACCGTGACTGTTGGGTTAAAGGCGGAAAAGGGACGAGCAGCTTACATATCCGTACCTTGCGTATTGAGTACATCCATCCAGGCGTACTTACATAGTGAATCCATATCCGTAGCCTTATTTAGATATCGAAGCCATATCCGTAGCCTTACTTACATATCGAATCCATATCCGTAGCCTTATCTCGATATTGAATCCATATCCTCAGCCTTACTTACACATCGAATCCATATCCGCAGCCTTACTTACATATCGAATCCATATCCGTAGGTACCGAATGTCGTTCTTGTACTGCTCGCAACTCAGAAAGGTCTCAGCGCAGCTTTTGAGAATGTCGAACAGCTCCGAATTATCTCCGCTCGTAACTGACCAAGAAATTTCCAGCTTAATGTATCTGCATGCGTAGGAAAACGACGTTAAGCAAATGTAACTCCTGCGAAGAAAAGCGAAGAAACCGCGGGTGCATCTAGAGCTGAAAAACGATGAGAACAAAATGAAGTTGATAGTTCCTCCGGTTTCTAACCTGTCCCACGGATCTAAAGGATCATCGCCGTCGTAATTCCTGATCTCCTCGAGGAGCGACCTGCAACAAGGACACGGGTTTTTTTCTTATAACGAGCATTTGCGTCTCATCAGATTCCTACGACAAACGACGAGGCGAAACTCTCGCGAAGATTTTTTTGTGCAACGTGTCCTAACCTTTTTTGGCTCTCGTATTCCTCCTCGATGTTGCCGCTGTTGACAGCTACTAAGGCCTCTTTCAAGGCGGCGTCCGTGGTTCGTGGCTCGATGTTCTCCTTCGCGAGCTGCCAATCCATGCCGAATCTAGAAATCGGTTACGCTACGCTGGGATTGTCGTCGAGTGGTAGGGCACGACTAGCTCTTAGACGGGAATATAAAGGCTATCATAGACGCACCATACGTAGATGGAATCTACTAGCACCCGACAGGCAGGAATATAGACGCTAATGCCGAAGAACTAACAAACTATCTTCTAGCAACGGCTACCGATAAGTCACGACAACTAAGCCGAAATTGACTAGAAAAGGACTTCTACTTTTTAAAAGTGAACTGGTTTTCAAAAGCCGAAACTACCATGAAGGTAGGTGAAGTTCGAGGTAAACTAGGCGAGCCTCGGTCTTGTCACGAAGTGTTTGTGGTGTGTGATGTGGGCGGGACGAGTGGGGAGGGTGGGGGGAGAGAAAAGGTGGTACGGTAGTGCAGCGGGGCGGGGATTTTAGCTCCTTCGTGTCATGAGTCTGGGGAAGAGAAAGAGAGAAGCGCACCGCGGAAATTCAAATTTCGCGCCTCCTTGTGTCAGGAGGCTGGCCAGACGAGGTCAGGCGATCAACCCCGATATCACCGACATCCGTTATCACTGTGGGTACGCATGGAACCACGAAATGTTATCAAAGCACGTAGGTAAATCAACGCATTATCTAGATACTAAGTAATACAGAATTGGGATTATGTGCAGACGGGTTGTTCTCAATACGTACTTAGAGCCTTAGAATAACACTCTCAGACGATGCAACTGCAATATCAAGTAATAGCACGCACTCACATAATAGATGTTTTCCACTCAGAAGTTAAAATTATGTTGCTACATACATGTTTCATGACTGGAAGTTGACGTTTCGGATCTTCAAGGGTCGGGCCAAGCTTGGTTGGCAAGCTGAACCCTCGTCGACTGGGCAACGCTGCAAATACATGTGCTAACACAAGCCCTTCTCGTGTTTTATGGGATTCCACAACAATCGCGTGTTTTACAGGATTCCACAACTGGGAATGACCCTGTTTTATGGGGTGTAAGAACTTGTGGCAGGTGGACAATGGATGTGAATCAGGCCCAAATCGGTGGGTGAGGTATGGTACGCCGCGGCACCGCGTTTGCCGGAAATGTGGCGCACCTGGCATCTTTCCACTGTTGCATGCAAGCCAAGTGACTTCTCGACTCGATAGCGCCCCCACCAAGTCAGCAACTACACATGTCACTTGGTGGCCTGGGCAATGTTGCACACACTTCCAAAATTTATAGTGGTCACTTGTCTCAGAAGGAGGGCGTATTCCACTTTCCTAGGTTGCAGGTCTGCGTGGTGTATCCTGACCGTACTGCTACCGCAGCCGCCCTTCGCAGCAACCCTAACCAAATTGACAACGTAAATCGTACAAAGAAGCACTCCGCTGTAACGAAAAACTATCGGTGTTCACAGATGCGGGGGTGCACCTTTGGGAACACCCTGTAAGCGCTGGAAGGCAACCACGCGTCCCCCACCACGAAGGACCTGTGCAAGGACACTCTCTCTTATCTGCTCTAGCTGGCAGCTAAATGTTCCAGTTCGCTCGACTTTGATCCTATTTTGTATTTGCTATGCTGACAGATACTGTACGTCGAGACTCCAAAAAGGCAGGGGCGGTCAGCCACCGGAAATTTGAAGCACGTCCCCACAATTTTGAATTTGCACTGTAACCAACCCGCGGAACCAACCGCTGGCATGGCGTGGCATGTCCTGCCTTCAAATTGCTGCTCCAAACCCCTGATGCATTTGGTTCGTGGCCCACCCGCCGTCGAATACTGGTGAACCTCACCGACACTCTTGCCATCCAAATCTGTCAGAAGAAGGCGTGAACAACTTTTAGCTGGTTCTTGAAGCAGTGTATCCTTGAAAACGTAGGCTGGAAAGTTTCGTGTTTTCTTGGGCAGATAAATGTCCCAGCTTGTCTCCAAACGTTGTTGCACATGAGAAGGCACATGTTAATTAAGCACATATAGTCTAGCAAAACAGGTTCTGCAAACCAGAAAAAGTGTGCAAGTGGGCGGATGAGGAATTTTCTTAAGCCCCATGGAAGTTTTGGCGCAACAGCATGGCCTTCTTAGTCTGATTTATTCGAACACAAGGGCGGTGTTGTCCGTAGATCTCAGGCGTTGATGGAAACTCACAAGGGTTGAGCAGTCAAACTGTTGTCTCGTCACAGCTCATCCTCCTGCCTGCGCCTGCTCCCCCGCGCCTTCCACAATGAACACCACCTGTCCTTCCCCAGCATCCCTCAACTCCAACTTCCGCCATCCATCTTCCGCCAAGCAATCGCATCTGCCACTGTCCAATTTCTAGGTTTATTGAAAAACCCTTTTTTGCCGCTCTGACTTCAAGTCCAACCAGTATCATTAGTTGCGCTTAAAAATAAGTGAGAGCACGCCACCAACGCATCACAGCCATCCTCTGCAACCCCAATCTTATTCATGCACCTCCGCTCCAGCTCGCGGAGTAGTGATTAGTTTTCAAGTTCACGCACAAGCACCCGCCAAATCGTCCGATCGTTATCTCCATTCGTCGGACAACGGCGTTTCAAAGCCTCAGCCACGCCACTCAGCCTTTCATTCTTGTGTTTCTTCGTCTCGTACTATCAATGCTGGTGCTTCAACCTACTACTTCTAGTAACGACTTCAGCTGGGCATCCGCTCTCAAAAGTACGTTCGAGGTCAACTGCCGCGCAGACGAGTTTGGCTAATATTATCGATTTTAAAATCACGATAAGATTAAAAATGCCGTCAGTGCTCGATCGAATAGTTGTCAACCATAGAGACGAACTCAAGCTGTCCAACCGTATATGCATTAAAATGCACAGCGTGGAATAAACTGGTCCCCCGGAGCCTCCCCCACCTCCCCCTTTTTTCGACTAACAAGTTTCCCCGCCTGACAATATAATTTCATACAAAGAAGCTCGGAGAATCGGGATCCTGTATCCTGCTTCTGGCCATCCTCTTTTCCCATCGTTTGGGTCGCGGATCTATTTAGCGAGTCGCTGCTCTAAGACACACTTCAGCAGCCCCCCTAATTTTTTCCCATCCGTGTCTTTCCATGGTACCCTCACCGCGTTGTCAGTCCCTGTCCTTTTTGAGTTCGGGTTATGTCAATTAAATTACACTCCTATTCTCCTTCGCACAAAAGTCCCTTACGTCCTTACACTTGTTACCATGATTCGCCCTAGCCCTTTTGCTCTCCGCCTTCTTCAAATCTCTTGAAGCTTAAGTTACCACATGTGTGTGGTAAAGATCCTACGCCTCCAGCTCCATCTCACCTCTTATACTTTGTGCAGAGTGTCTTCGATGTTATTCCATTTAGAATATTCCTCCTCCTCCTATCCCCTCCCTTCCCGACCTCCAATCCCTACCTGAGTTGGGCAAAACTCCCCATGGCTCCATCTCAAGATCCCTCCATGACTCCAACTCCCCTACCATTCCTCCAACGCTGTGCCCCCCCACCCTCCCTCCCAACCCCTCTTTTTTGTTCCCACCTGTGTCCTTACATGGCAATTCCCCCACATTGTCTCTCCTTAACCTCTACTACCTACATTGACAGAAGACCCCCTTCACTATCCACTCCTGTCCCTACCTCCCCTTTCATGCCATTCTCCCCACGTTGCCTCTCCTTCATCCACCACTACCTACTACATCAATAGAGGCCCCAGATCTCCAATATCCAGTCCTGCCTCTACCTCTCATCATGCCTTCTTTCATGCCATTTGCCTCTCCTTGACCCCACTCAAGTTACGGAAGCCCCAGGCCTCCACTTCTGCCGCTACCTCTCATGCCGTTTTTAAGCCTTTCGCCCCACATTGCCTCCTCCGAACCCCCACCACTACATGCACTGACAGAAGCCCGAAGCCTCTCCTAACCACTGCTGCCTCAACCTGTCATGCTTTCTTCATTCACCCCCCTCACATCACCTCGGCATGACCTCCACTACCAGAGGATAGAAGAAACAACGATCCCCGGCTGATCATTCCTGGCTCCACTCATAAATTCCTAGACATTCCCGCTTGGTGCTATTCCCGTCGCACTGTCTCTCCACATCCCTAGCCTCTCTGTTGACTGAAGCTCCATGCCTTTACCAAACTCTCCTGGCTCCACCCATAAAATTCCTGGCCTTGCCATCTTGATGCAACTCCCCTCGCTCTGTCCGCTCATCCCCAACCACTACATATGTTGTCTGAAGTACATACATCAACCAAACGCTTCCGTTTTTACAAATAAATCTGTAACTAATACCCTCTTGATGCTAATCCCCTCGCATTCTTTCCCCTCCTCCGTCTCCTCCTCCTCCTCCTCCTCCTCCTCCTCCTCCTCCTCCTCCTCCTCCTCCTCCTCCTCCTCCTCCTCCTCCTCCTCTGTCTCCTCCTCCTCCTCCTCCTCCTCCTCCTCCTCCTCCTCCTCCTCCTCCTCCTCCTCCTCCTCCTCCTCCTCCTCCTCCTCCTCCCCCCACCCCTCCCCCTCCTCCCCTCCCTCCGACGCCTTCTCCCCCCCCTTCCCCCTCCCCTTCCTCCTCAGCCTCCTCCTACGTCTTCCCCCCTTTCTGCTGCTCCACTCTAGTCGCCGAGACCTCTACCATTTTCAGCTTTTGATGCGATTCCCCTCTACATTGCCTCTCGTCTTCCTCAGCCAATATCTGTGTCGGTAGAAATCGCAGGCCTGCGCTAGGCGTTCTTCTTTGTTATGTCATCCCTCCCACGCTGTTTCTCTTCCTCCTCAACCATTATCTGTGCTGGCAGAAGCCAGCGCCTGTTTTTTGAGAATTCTAGCACCTGATTTTTTAGAATTCTAGCGTGTGTTTTTGAGAATTCTCAAAAAACACACGCTTGAAGCCAGCGCCCAGCACCGCCACCTCTTCCCACTCCGTTTCAAGTATTTCATGCTCGATTAACCCCCCCCCCCCCCCCCCCCCCCCCCCCCCCCCCCCCCCCCACACCCCCCCCACGGTTTCTGTCCTTCCCATTGATTGTTACGTTTCACAGAGGTTTTAGATCCCCCCAAATATTC